GGGGGGGGGGGGGGGGGGGGGAAGGGGAAGGGGACGTACGGAGCTGAAGGAGTTCGTGGCGTTCTCGACGGCGTCGAGGCGGTCGGTGAGGAGCCGGATGCTCCTGCCGATCCCGGATGCGCCCTGGAGCGCCTGCTGCACCTCGTGTAACCCTGCCTTCGTCACCTTCGCCTGCAAATTTTATTCATAAGTTTTCGGAACGTCGTTCCGTCTCGTCAGAATCACACACGCGTTGCGCAACGTTAGACTCAAAATGTTGCAACTTTTTGACATTGCATCCTTCGTGTCCAACGACATATCGAAGCTGGACCTCAGTAAGCCTATTTGGGCAATTCTGAGGGATATCCCAAAGGATGCAAAGCTGCATTTGAGGCATGGTTACACAGACTGGAAAGCTGCATTAACGTGGGAGGAGATAACTTTGAAGGCTTATTTAGCCTTGTTTTTGGCACTGTAGTGGTTTTTTGAGTCCATTATGGCTCTGTTCGCAATTCGTGATTTTTGTTCACTCAGGAGGCAAAATCTAGTTCATTTCGGCGCTTGCTGAAAGACAAAATGCCCCAGTCTAAAACACTTATTTAGAAAATTGCGGATGGTCTCAGTTCAAAGAAAACTGATCGACCTCATTGGCCAAAAATTCAAATTGATTCAACGTTACAAGGAATGAAGCGGAAGCAGGGATGAATCTATTAAATTTTCTTTTTTGAAAATTAGTCAATTTTTGACAAAGGCAAAAATGGACCTCAACTTTATATTGTTGGATATGCCTAATGACCTAAAAGAAATACATGTGAAGTACTTGAGTCAAACACTGAAGACGAGGAAACGTTACTTTTGGTACAGCTCATTTAAAGATGCTTGAGAACAGCTATTTTACTTTATTTCTTTTCGTTGGATCCTCTTTATTTTTTTTTCCCTTTGTCCTTTGCGTCTCAGAATTTTGCCACCATCACGAATCACTTCAGACGCGAAGAGCGATGGTCTAGCCAAAGTGAAAACCTTTGGAATGACTTAATGTAAATATATTAGAAATGAAGCGTGATCCCTATTCGCGGCATATTCATCACCGAACGTTAGGCCAAAATACAGATTTTGCACCTCACGAGTTCGGAGATCTGCACGAGGCAAGTACCTCCTGTACTGCGCATACCACAGGATGTACTGCACTCGTGAGATGATCTCGTGATTCGACACGAAGCGTTAACCACGTTGCAAGCCAAGGACCCAATCCCATCATCCGACCATATTGAAAGCCATATTAGAAGCCAAAGAGAACGAGATCGGAACCAGACCATGTCCAAGAAGGCTCCGAGATCCTCCCCATCGACGTTGACGCGACCCTGAATCCCATTCGTCTTCAGGGTGATGTTCTTGTCTTTGGCCGTGAGGAACATCAGGTGGCCATCCTGGACCTCGATCCTCGGACTGCCAGGGACAACAGTCAAGGGCAACAGCCAACGACAACAACCAACAGGCCTCGATCGAGACTCACTTAGAATCATAAGGCAACGCGTCGTCATGGCTCCTCGTCCCGAAGAAGAAACTCGGGAGGAAGACGCAAGAGAGGAAGATATCTCGCCTTAAACTCATCGAGATTCCTTCATGCCCCTACTAAGACTCGATTACGTAACACGACGTTCTCGGCCTGACTCGAGCAACAGCGGGCTGCGTCGAACGATTTGCACAGAAACCCGTACCACCTAGATATACCACGTAGATATACGATTTCAACATGCAAGGAGACTCCATCACCCAACGAGACAACACGCCCACAAAAACGAGAGAAAGCGAAAGGAACTCCCCCACTCCCCACTCCCCACCGCCACCACGGAAGAACTGCACAGCCGGTGCGGAAACACTAGACCGAACCGAAAGAGGAGGGCGGACGCGGCGATCGCGTTACCTCCACCGGCCACACCCACCGTCGACGCCTTTCGGTTCGATTTTGCCTCTCGGTGGTCACTCAGCGCCGTCGTTCCCTCACGTCATCGCTCGAATACGGCGACGACGAGCTCTCGCAGTCCACCTGCAGGTCATCCGGGCTCATCGAATCACATTTTATGCAAGTTGATACGAGACAATATGTTGCCATGTCCGAATTTTCGGGTACATTTTTTGCACTCGCTAAAAATCGTAAACACTTTCCGGACGTAAACGGGCAAGGGGAGTCCGTTGGACTCTCGTTACATTTTGCATACACGTTTTGCAACGGCTCCCACTCAAAGCCGTTTCTCTGTACCTTTTCGGCACAACGAAGCTGTGACGACTGTTCCCCGATGAAGTAACCCGGACGCCCAAATGTCCCGCTTACGGAAAATGCCGATGACAGAATGATACGACGGTTGAATTTCTTGCCTTGCGAGTTTCAGAACTTCTCCTAAACATATTGCTTAGGAGCTAAACCAAGAATATCACGGAATATCATGATTATGAATAGCATATCTTGAGTTCTTTTTTTTTATCCATGGCAACTGCTTAGACATAAATTGGCAATGGTAATTCGTATTACCGAACAGCTAATGCGCCTAAAAACACGCTAGTCCTTGCTAGCATGCACCTGCAGACGGCGAGGCCGGCCTCACCTGCCATCGTTTGCTCCCATATTGCAAGAACAAAGTGACACCCTCGTAGTTGTCTCTGGCTCTGACGTCACATTCCGGACAGGAGGCAACTTTCAGAGGCTGGACTCGACTCGTTTTGCGTCGATTGAGAATGAATTTAATGGTTCTCGGGGATTTCTTTCAGATATTTGATATCTTAATAGATGTTTTCAGATTGCATGGGAAAGGGACTCCTAAGAATTTTTGAGGAGGCCGGGCCTTCCCCTTGCCAAAAATGTGCCAAAACCCCTGCTTGCTGCAGCAAAGTGAAAACGTCACGGAAGCGTTTTGCACATGTGACATTTTGCACATGTGACGCTGCTGACATTTTTTCTGAAAAGGACCACGACTCGGATGAAAGTCACGAATAACGTACAGGTTAACGAATTTCCAGTTGCGTGCCTGCGCAGTAAAATCTGGGCCGAATCCCGAAATTAACTCTGTTCATCTTTAGCTTCCTTTCAAATATCGAATGCGCCTGCATCATTTATTGTTTAAATTCTGCTTCCACCATTTCATTTTTCGCTCCATTTCCTACGTTCGCGTGTTCGACGTCGTTTCGCACTTTCCTCTTCTGGCGATTTGATAACGCCATCTTGGAGACATTCGAAAGTTATACGAACTTTCCCGAAACTTTAGTGCTGGTTGCGCTACTGCAGACGCACAATTAAATAATAGCTCTATTTCGTGTTCGGCAATAATAAATACAATTGTCAGTCCAACAAATCCATTTATCTTCTTTTTCGAGAGGAAAAGCGCCCCACTTTCGCGACACAGAAATCTGTTCACCTTATACGGGTAAGATGAACATATTTACATATAATTTAAATTCTGATCTATCTAATATCTGATCTAATCTAATATCTGATCTAATCTAATATCTGATCTAATCTACGAGGTGCGTTCAAGTTCTAAGGTCCTAATTTTTTTCTGGGGACCAGGTGCAGAAAGAAACATGCGTTGGAGACCTTAGAACTTGAACGCACCTCGTAATATCTGATCTAATCTAATATCTGATCGTCACGTTGCTTTTCAGCCGTTTTTCGCCACTCCAAGGAGTCGATAAAACCCACTATTTCCACATTTGATTTCAAAATGAGAATCACATGCAACTTACTTATAAGAATCTTATTTGCCTCACTGGCCCCTCGGAGCTTGAACGTCGCAGGATATGACTTAAAAAAAAAACATCCAAGGCAACAATGAGTTACGATAACGTTACATGCCAACAAATGTGCAGAGGATGCGACACATGGAAAATGCTCTGGAAATTGTTCTTATGTTAACGTGAGACGATTGCAAACGGGAGAACCAATTGAACCCAGGTTGAAAATTGAAAAAGAGTCCACCTCGTCTAGATGATGAGTTATATGCCATTTTCGTTTCTTCAAACTTTTTTTTTTTTTTAGTAAGGTTGGAAAAAAAAAGTCTACCGAAAGAAGTTTTCCCTCGTGACACCGATGTCTCCTCTTTTTTTTTATTTATTCCATGCGTTGCCCCATCCGAATCTTTACAGATTCGACGTGGCTGATGTTCTCCAAAGAGGTTGAACCTTCATTCGTGCACTCGGCGCGAATTATTAATGACAAGGCAGAAATTCTAGTTGGCGACTCTGACTTGACATGAAACTGAATCAGCGCCGGGGTGAATGTTCAAATAAATTTTTAAAATCCAAAAATATGAAGTTATGCCCTCACCATCACTCAACCCAACCATCGACTCACTGGTTTTAGAGGCGGATTGCTCCGATAATGGCAACACTGGCACACCTCCGGCAACACTGACACTTCCCCGGGAGCACAAGAACTCTGAACCACGCAAGGAGCGGAAGGATTTTGGTACGGTACCCGTTGAAGCCATGCTTTTCGCCGACAACATCCCAATCTCGCAACTCCATTTGGCCTAACTCCATGTTTGGTTTGCACGTCATACCTCCACGAAGACCTCCATCGAGTCGAAGTCGAGTCCATCCAGCGTTTTCGGCGATCTGAACGGACCCAATGCCCACACATCCACCTGCACGTGCGCCAAACGTGAAGCAAATTCGTGGGCGTCGGCGGGAGTAGTGAGAGCTGGAAGGCGGAAGGGGAAGACGCGCGGGGAAAACTCCAGGCTCCAATAGCAAGGTTGCCAGAGTTCATGGCCTGTCGGGTAAAATGTGGAAGAGACTTTCAATATGATTATAGAAATGCCGCACAGGATAACCTTATGGGAACACGAAAGGTGATTGTCCTCAGTTTCTGGCAATCTTTTTCTTTCAGATTCAATTCTTGAATAAATGCATGTTTGAACTGTGCGTTGGGGGAAAAAAAAAAAAATCGGAAAAACATGGGATCTAGACTGTAATCAGTTTTCTTTCACATAATGTGTCCTGCTCATCATATTCCTTGGGTGCATATATTTTTTCATGGTACACCTTTCGTTATTCCTTCAAATTTCCTCAAGTTCACTACCACTCATGCCGGATGAATCCGGAAAAGGAAGGGAATGTCGGAAAGCGAGGACAATCCTACACGGCTTTCACATAAGCCTATTTGCCGCAGCGAGTCAGGCCTGAAAGCCTCCGACAGGCCAGATGTACAGCGTGTGCATGGGGTGTGCGCATGACGTGTATTGTGGGTGGGTGGCTTCACCGCGTGATTATGGAACGGCATGGAGAATGCAATGGCGTCGCGCTGAGTGCGGCGGTGGTGTGTCTTTTCTGCATGTGACCTGGATTCGGAGGACGAGTTAAGATGATAAAGGCGATCATCGTGTTCAACAATCACGGGAAACCTCGGCTCACCAAGTTCTTCCAATACTTTGTGAGAATTTGCTGCTTGCTCCTACGATAGGCCCTTAACTCGGCACAGTCTGCCTTGACACACCCTCCATGGGCGTAGTCCATTAGGATTGCCGATTCTCACGGTTTGACCTGGTGACATCTGGTTTCATTCCCTTCCTCTCGATCAGTTTGCAAAGTATGTGAGGAGACCGGCACTCGCCGGCTTCGTTTCATAGATAAAAAAAAAGAAGTCGTGTAACAGCAGGCCTGTTCCTTAGACCTGTGTACTCGTCCAAGTTCGTAACTTGGTATAGGGCGATAACTTTCACTTCTGTCGAAGGTTTGTAAACAAGGGGTTGCCAGGAGGATGAAATGTTGCAGTTATAGCTGCCATATGTCCTAGCCCCCCCATCAGCACAAGAAAGCAGGAATCCCCTCAATCACTTTCTCACTTGGTCTTTGACATGAAAAAAGTGTCTCCAGGTCTGATTTTGGCAGGCCTCATAACTTTAAGGCTAATCATGAGCCTAGACTTAGGCTTGGTTTGACAAATATTGGAGACTGATCTGTCCTATATTGCAACTTGTTTTAATCTCAAATTACAGACAGAAGACGTGCAGCAGGACATTGTCAAAGAAACATTCCAGTTGGTGTCGAAGCGAGATGACAATGTCTGCAACTTTCTGGAGGGTGGGAGGTGAGACAATCCTTATGCTACCTCTTTGACTGCAGTTTCAACCTAAAAATGCATTTGCTCTCATCATTATGTCCTCTCACATCATGCCCAGGCCTAGCTGGTAACAGTTAAGCATGTGCCCCCTAACAAAATTGCACTCCCTCAGTCTCCAATTTTTCTGGATGAATTTAACTGGAAACATGCTCCATCAATTAGGCTTTCTTATATATATACAATACACACCACCCCACCTAACATAACCTAACCTGGCCTAAAGGAGTAACACAATATCCCAAGGGGGTACACACTTAACTGTGACCCAGACAGGCCTAGCTTAAGGTTGGGTTTAGGACCTGACCTGTTTTTGATCTCCATAGCCCTCCAGTAAGATAAGCTGTTATGTTAGCATAGATATAGCATATTTAAATCATGAATGCATCCTGTTTTTACACAGTTTGATTGGAGGATCAGATTATAAACTCATCTACCGTCACTACGCCACCTTGTACTTCGTCTTCTGTGTTGACTCCTCTGAGTCTGAACTAGGGATTCTGGATCTCATCCAAGTGTTTGTGGAGACCCTAGATAAGTGCTTTGAGAATGTCTGCGAGCTGGATCTCATCTTCCATGTTGACAAGGTCTTGTGCCATTTTATAAAGTCTACCTGCTATATATATATATATATATCTTTATTTATGGTAGGCCTACTTATACTTATTGCATGTTGGCAGTGGTGTAACAAAGGGATGGGGTTTCAGACACTCCCTGAACTCCCCCCCCCCCCCCCCCCCCCCCCCCCCCCCACCCCTATGCATTCATGATTTAAATATGCTATATCTATGCTAACATAACAGCTTATCTTACTGGAGGGCTATGGAGATCAAAAACAGGTCAGGTCCTAAACCCTGCTCATGCATGATGTATCCCTGCTGTTCCTCCATCCCCCTTGTCCCCAAAGATAGGGGATGCAGAAAGATATTATGAGCCAACAGCAGAAATGTACAAAGATGGGTGGTGAAAGGTGAAGGTCATTCCAATCACATGTGACTACCTACTGTAGTGAAGTGAAAATGTTGAGAAAACATCTTGCATGTGACACTGCTGAATTTTTTCTGGAAATGGAAGGACAATGACTTGGATGAAAGGCATGATACATGTATGGGTTGACAAATTTCCAGTTGCATGTATGCACAGTGAATTCTGGGCTGAATCCTGAAATTAATTTAATTCATCTTTAGCTTTTCTTTAGATATAAAATGTACTTTCATCATTGATTACTTAAATTTCATTTTCACCATTTCATAAAATTTTTCTTTGTTTCATTTTCTATTTTCACATGTTCAGCATCGTTTTGCATTTTTGTTTTGAATATATATCTTCTAATGATTTGGTAACACCTTGCATTTGAAAGACAGGTTAAAAGAACTTTCCTGAGCACCCCCACTCCCCCCACACTTTAGGACTGGCTGTGCCACTGCATGTTGGAGACCTTGTGTCTTATTAAATGTTAACTTTTTTCCTCATTTTGAGTTTGATGGAGAGGATAGCTTTAAATTGACTTTTGAATAATGGATTTTGCTTATCTTTTGTTATGTGCTTCCATTTTTGTTACTGTTAGGATTCAAAAATGGTTATCATATTCTTATATACCACATGAGAAATATGTGTTTCAATTCATAATTATGCTCTTCAGTGCTATATCAAAGTACATTTTGCATCTTGCCAGTTTGGTGATTCTGTATGCTACCAGCCAGTGAGCTCTGCTAAAATATTTTAAAGTGTCTAAGGGCAGGGCTTTACTTGAAGGAAAGATCACTGGAATACTACTTGCTACCTAGAGTATGACTTCTAGAATTATATCAACCCCCCCCCCCCCCATCTTCCATGAAAAATTAAATAAAATACTCATTTTTCAAAGAAAATGTAATATTTTTGTAACCTGATCTTTTCCTATAATCTCTTATGTGCTCTCTTTTGTTCCTGCATATTTTGAAATTAGCTTCATGATATTCCCTTACTATATAATTGTAAGTCAGTTCACCTCCACTTAAGTTGCCTGGCTACAAAATGAGGGTGGCTTCTTTTAGATTCCACTTGCAGAGCAGTTTCATTCACATTGAAGTCTTTTTTAAAATAATGTTTGAAATACTTTGAAGCAATGTGATACTGGATGTCCTGGTCAGTCTGATCCAGCTGAATACCTGGATCAAATATCTTGCAATCAGCCAAGGCATTCACTTTTTAATTTGTTAAATACTATTCTCCATATTCTGCCTTGGGGATGACCAAAGTGAATGTTCTCATCTGACCAGAAAAATGAAAAAATAGAGAGAAGGGAAGGGAGTGGCTGCCATTTCCCAAATGACCCTTTTTGGTCTGCATTTCATGATCTGGTCTGGTTTACCTATTGCATGCAAATTATGAATGATTCACTATTTCCAGCCCATTTAGACATGGATTAAATTGAAGGTAACACAAAAAACCTTGGGGATGTTATGCACAAGAGAATACTTCCATATAGTTTCTTGCTGCCCCATGAGAGCATCCATGTCTCCCAGTTTTTGCCCAGATGACCTTTGACCTGGCAAATTGACATTGTGCAAAGGAGTTTTTCTTCCCCCCTTTTCCACTCTCTCTCCCTCTCTTTCTTTCTTTCTCTGTCTCTCCCTCCCCCTTTTCTCCTTCCTTGCTTCTCTTTGTCTTTCAGTTACAGTGCTCTTTTGTTACATCTGTTGATTTCCTTCTCTGCCTCTTGTAACTGAATATCTAAAAGAGCATTATATAAGTAAATGCAGTTTGGCAGCACCAGCACTCCTTCCATTGCAGGAGAGTCATAAACAGCTTTTACAATAATGCATAGCTTAAATAAATTAAACAAATGGCTTACATACATCAACTTCAGCCAATTACCTCCTGCATGATACCCAGGAGGCCTGTCTGGCCAAAACTGCATTCAGTATTTCATACTTTGTATTAGTATATATTTTAAAGTGTATATTAAGTTCCACTTGGTTCTAAGAAATGTCAATATATGTACTCCTTCTCTTTGCAGGTCCATTACATTCTCAATGAACTGGTCATGGGAGGCCTAGTTTTGGAGACCAATATGTCTGAAATAATTACTAGGATAGAGGAACAGAATAAGCTTGAGAAGCAGGAGGTAAGTCAGTTAATCAATTCATTTTTCATAATTTTTATTTTAATTTCTATCGACATGATTTTCAGGTCAACTCAGAGGTTTCAATTTATTGAACAATTTTTTGTACAGTGGATTAGGTTTATTTTTATTTCTGCTTTATCCAGCATTGAGCTTTCACCCAAGTGTGGAGGTTGCTTATTTGATGAAACATGGTCTCATTGCCTACTTGTCCCCTTATCTTTTGTAGGCTGGAATTGCTGCAGCTCCAGCAAGAGCCATGTCAGCAGTGAAAAACATCAACATATCACAACAGATCAAGGACATCAAGTTACCTGATCTCCCCAATGTAATCAAGGACTTCAAATTTTGACCTTCTTTTGAGTGCCAACTGCCTGTGATCCCATAAGCATGGAAAAGAGTGGTGGTGGCGTTCAAGACCCTTTATCAAAGTTTCTTTCTTCTGTTCGCTTCAATGATATCTCATCCTTTGACTGGAAAACATGGGCCATTGTGCAACCCCAAGCCCAGAAGGAAGTGATTGCGAATCAGGATCCCACTCGACAGATGTGGATTCTTCAGATTCTTGGGATTCTTTTAGAAACTGAAACCCAAGAAAAATGGCAGGCCTCACTAGCTAGTTCATGGCTACCTGTTTTGGTTCGTTCACTCCGCCCACGTCGATCAATACTCCATGCTGATACTGCAGAAATCAAGTCTGTCAGTGAAATGTTGAATGTAATAGAGAAATGCCTCATGCGAAGCTCCAGTGCTTTAGACATGGAACTACAGCTCCTCACAATACTTTGCTTTTGGGTACAACTTGGAGCGAGGGAAGACATCGATCCACCAAGCATGGATGGCGATTGGCGGATCCTAGCCCTTTCATCTATGCCAGGTCAGCCTGTTTCTTACAAGAAGTCACGATTGCCACAAAAAGGTACTGGTTCATCTGATTCCTCAGACACCGAGATTGGACCAGTGGACTTTGTGCGGTTGAGTGCCCTAAATGCCCTGTATGCCCTGATTCAAATGGGAGATCGAGAGAAGCTTTTTTCCTACTGGTGGGCTCTCTTGCCATCATCATCGGGCAGGTGGAACCTATGCTGGAGTGCCCGCATGGACTCGAGCATCAAGTGTCGCATTGCTGCCACTCTTGTCCTGAACCGTCTCCTAGAAATTCTAAAACCATTCCTAAAGTTTGCTCAGTATCAGAAGAGTTCTGCTTCTTTTGTTTCTCTTTCAGCTGCTATTGCTGATGACTTGGAGCATCTTCAAAATGCACTGCTTCTACATATGCAGGAAGAAAGGAACAGTTATGTTCTGATTCAATTGCTGCACCTTGTGAAGACATTAGTCATAGTTTCCCCATACTATAGGCTGAAAACTGGACTTGTGGCATCTCTTGTCTCTGGTCTCAAGTTACCTCTTGACCACAAGGATGTGAATGTGAGAGTAGGAGTATTGACATGTTTTGGAACCCTTTTGGAAAGGCATGATCCTTCAATCCTCAAAGATTCTATTCATCCCTGGCTCCTGGATTTGTGTTATAAGAAATGCTCAGAAAGTATAGTTCTTGTGCCCTTAAAAGTGGAATGCCTTCAGGTTCTGTCATCCATCGTGAAAAAGTTTCAACCCGAACCCTGTAATTGGGATCTGATACTTAAAAGCTGTTTTGTTCAGGGAAGTGACCCTGCTGTCTTACAATATGGCATGCGGCTGATGGAAACATGCTCTGCTCGAGTTGGAGAGGAAGTTTGGGAGGAATTTGTGACTTTAGTCGTGCCAAGGATTATGGATGATACTCTGACATATTTGAAGATCCCATTGTGTGACTGTCTGGCTGTGATGCCAGCCCGAGTCCTACAGGCACATCTACCCCATTGCTTCAGCGTTCTCATGTCCCTCACAAAAGATCCAGCGGCAAGAGTGTCCGTAGCTGCCATTCGGGCACTAGGATTAATTGTCGAATCAGAGCCAGTGGCCAGGGATCCATTTCTTATTGCTGATATTAGTGAAACATTATGTGCAGCTATGAAAGGAGATGGCAAATCATCAGACCTTGTTTCACAGGCGTCATGGGGCCTGGGCAATGTTTCAGCATCTTTGCTGAGGCTCTATGAGAATGGAGAGAAGCCTGAATTGTCTCTTTTGAAAGATATGCTATCGTGCATTTTGCATCCTACAAAGGCCAAACAAGCCCAGGCCCAATGTGTGCGTGCAATGGGGACTCTGCTCTGTTGCATTGATTCAGATACATTTGTACACTTGAGAGAGTTGGCATCAGATGCAATGAAGACCTTAATTGCAGTAGCACGCACTGTGTCCAACCCCAAAGTCAAGTGGAATGCTTGTAATGCCATTGGAAATGTCTTTCGAAACCAGACCATTTTAGACCAAGCTTGGACACAGGAAGCAATTGATGTCCTCTGTTCCATCATCACCACGTGTGACAACCTAAAGACGAGGCAGATTGCAGCTCGAGCATTGTGCAATCTTGAGAGCCATGGAAGTTTTGGCAGCCAATATTTGAAAGCCATTCAGAGTCTGCTGATCGGACTGGAGACGGCAATGAACGACTTTTCTGCCGTCGACCTAAAGGTTCGGGACTATCTCTTGGATCAGCTGGTGCATACCCTCTGTCACGTCCTGTGTCTTGTAGACTCGGATCACAATAGTGTCTGCCAATTAATTGCGCAACATGGTGAAACAGTCAAAGAATGCGTGGCACACTTCCTAGCCTATGCAGCACCAGACAAACTGACATCATTCTATGCTGTTAAGGAGAAACTACCCAAGATCATCCCCATGCTGGTTGGTGACTCTTAATCGTTGGGTTTTTTGAATTGGTATGGGATTTCTAGTGATTTTGTTGATCGTGTATATGGAACATTCTCATGAAATTAATTAAGTTTTTTTCCAAAATATTACAGAAATAAATTTATTTGGTCAACTATTCCTTATAAAAAGGCTACTCATTTAATGGTGTCATCTGTGGTTCTTCTTTTCTAAATGTCTGAATGTATACTTTGATGCTACATTTCTTTAAGAAAAAAGAAGTGCAATATATTTTCTAAAGTTTTAAACATTTCTCCATGTGTTAGTAAGTCGGAACCCACGGTAAAATCTATGGAATTTCCTAATTTGCCACCTTCAAGCACCTATGCATTTTCTGCCAACCCCTAAACTAGGCCTTTAAAAAAAAAACAATTCTCATCTCTGGGCAAGGACATCTTAAATCTCATTGATTCCATGTCTCCAATGAGCGTCTTCCATGTCGTGCCACCGAATCCTTCATCCGCGAGGGATCACGAATGAGAATCGTAGCATTTTATTACGAATAACAGAATCATATACGTGAAGATATGACACCGGACCATGAAAAAACAAGCCGAGAAGCATATATATCACAAATTTGAATTTTTTTTTTTTCCTCGATCGAGAAAGCGCCTCATCGAAGAAAATTATCGGCGTCCTCGGGAACACACGTCGCATCCCAAGAGCTGCAACGGCCCCCCGCGTCGCACGGGCAGAGCTGGGTGTAGAGGTCCTGGAACTCTACCACCACCCCCGACGGGGTGCTCCTGGTGAACAGGGGGTACCAGAGGGTCACGTTCCGGGGCTCGTTGTGCGGGCGACAGGAGTCGCCGATCTGCCCCATTTGCTGGCAGAACGGGATGCTGAACCGCATCATTCCTGTAGGAAATGGGATCCCGCTATGACAATCGTGAAACCGGTAGGAAGTGAAAAGAAGACAAATAAGCTATGTTGTCTCGGTGATGAACTATATGAAATAGTTTGTTAGGAGGATTAATTTAATTTAAGTGAAAACCCAGAATTTGAGCAAGTGCGGCAGAATGATTGGACGCGGATTTGCATTGCTGCATTACATTGTGAGGGAAAAATAAACAAATGAAGAAAAATCGTACGAAGCAAGTTCGAAATGCCAAATCAAGTTTCCCCGACGGATTGATTTATATATTTTCCACCAAAAGAATGCAGGGAAAAACGTCACGACTTCCGAGAAACACGAAAGGGGAGGAGTCGCCGCCGCATTCGCGGCCTCATGCGTCACCATGCCTGATATGGAAATAGCCAAAGGGTAACCCAAACAGATGCCTGGGAATGCAAAGAAGATTCGCGGAACGCGGATTTCTCTCTTATTTTATGCCCTCGGGACTGAAAAAAAAAAAAAAGCTGGAGAGAGCTTCCTCGAGGTCTTCCATCAATGACATCGCGATTATCTCCGTTGAAACTCATCTACGACTGCCTGAAATGGCCGGTGACCTCGAAGTCTTCTCTCCAGCCCGTATTCTTTTTCTTTTTTTTTTTTTTCCCCGGAGATTTCACAGCACCAAAGATGAGCTGATCTCTCACACCCCAACGTTGCCTTACAGCCCATCAAATATTTAATAGCAATCAAAAAAATTCTTTTAAAGTAAATTTTCCTCGCAAACCCAACAGCACCCTCACAACTTCGCCAACCCGACCCAAACTCACCCAACACACAGCAGTGACCCGGCCCACAGTCCTCAGGCGACTGGCACTCCTTGTAGAGCGTGTCGTCCGCGTCGAGCGATCGGCCGTGGACGGCCACGAGCCACGCCAGCACGAGTCCGCACGAACCCCTCATCGTTCTGGAAGCGGAAAATTTTCTTCTTTTTTTTTCGACCCGAATCTCGCGGGAAAGGACTTCCCGATCCTTTATTTGGAAATTAATTGACAGGCCCGAATTAATCGAGACCCTGAAAGTGCCACCTTCGATCAAGATTAAACGGAAATCCCGCGTCGATCGAAAAAAAAAATAAAAACGGGAGCTCATCCGCCGAGATCACGCCCCAAGGGCCTTTTAAGGCCTTTAAGGGCCTTTTAAGGAAGGACTGAGTCATGCACGCGTTTCGACGACTCAATCACGACTCAAGGTCAGAGGCTCTGACCTCAAAGGTCGGGGAAGAACGCCCAAAGGACAGGCGAAGGACGGGAGTTCGTTCGCTCGGTGTCGATGCCCTGACCGCGGTAACCGGTACTAACCGGCGGTAACCGGAACCAAAATATTTCCAGCCCTACTCGTAAATCCTGGAGCGAATTTATGGCCTTAAGAGAATTCACGGCGGTACAAGGACCTTTGCTCCGAAGGCTGATTTTCGTGGGATCCTTGATGACGCCGCATCGACGCGATGATGCGACCGGAATGACGTAAAACGAATTACGGGATCCGGTTTCTTCTCAATGTCGCCCCGGCGTGGCCCAGATAAACAAGAGTCTCCCTTATTATTTAACACCTTATTACTTCTCCCCCCCCCCCCACCCCCCGGGAGGAATTTCGAGGGATCGTTGCGAAACGCGGGAAATTCCCGCGATCGCGCTCGGTTCATCACGGCCGACGGGGCTGACTCAGACCCGTAAAGGACAAAAAAATATTTGAATTTCATGAGGCGGTCGGGCGTGTTGGATTCAAGGCCGAGCCGTCGCGACACGCGATCTCGTCGCGAATAAATGACCGTAATCTTCTTATAATCTTCTTCCTGGAGAAGAAATTACATCCGAAAAATATTTCCGTCTGGAATTGGGCGGAAAAAAAATTTTCTCGCGTGAAATTTTGAGATGCGATTTTTTCCATCCGAGGAAATTCGGCTCGAGATTCATTCGGACGCCATTCTCGGTCGCTTTTTGGCGAAATGGGTTCCACTTAACACGACTTAACACGACTTAACCCGAGCAGGAATCGAGCAGATGGGCGCCTTTCCGCTCTAATAGAATTCTGATAGAATTCCAACCCGTCGCGATGTCAATCGCGATACGAGGCTTGTTCCTTTCGCGAAGGCCATCGGACTGAAGCCACACTCGGATTTCATTTCATTTTTTTTTTTTTACATTTCGAAAGAATTCTGGAAACGTTTCGATGCGGCTGACTCGTTCACTTGATCCCTTAAGCTCACGATGATCCCTAAAGCCAAAAACGAGGGAATCGAGGACGATCAACTATCACCCTGGAAAACAATTTAAAATCCCATTTCATTGGTTCCTCTCTCGGGGAGGAACCGAACCATCTCGAAACTTTCGTCTTCTCAAAGTTTTTTTATTATTATTCCAGATTCATAAAAAAAAATCGGCCATGTCGACATCGCCGACCCTGCGAACCAGTTTCCCAAACGACGCCAGCTCAAATGCCAAAAGTCAAAGACGAAACCCTGATAGCGAATTCATCTCTCGTTCCCCATCGCCAATTCGCCTCGACCGCTTTTTCACCTCGAACTAACTACACATACAACTAACTACATAACTGTATAACGAACGTGACTCACGGCGGGGAGACAGAAGGAAGCGGAGAGCGGGGAGACGGCGGGGACGGATGCACAACTGCGACTGACTCGGGACACGCGAGGATGATGCGTTCCTCTGAGGCCTCCAGGCCCGCGATGACCTTGACATTGAACTTCCATCGTCCACCGTGGTCTTTCCCATGGCGTCTTTCTCCTCCCCTCTCCTATTTTGTATCGTTTTCTACATCGTCCATCCATTTCCGTCAGGGTCGGCTTGCGCAATGCTCGACAGGGGGGGAACAGGAAGAATTTAAATTCTTTCCTGAATGCTTTTTTGTCCGCAGATCATGGGCTTGGCATTCGTGCAGCAAATTTCCGACATCGTCGCAATGAAAAACTTTTCAATGGAGAAAATGCAAATTTCTTTCACATAATTTAGCACAATAAAACAGCAATTGACTAGAGTGAGCGGAGCACCATAAAGTAAAGGCCTCAAGGTATCGATCAAACTTGGCAACAGTCCTTATAAAACAAAAAGTCCTTCATGATCTTTGTGACAGGCAAGGTCTGGATGTCCTTGATACGATAGCGACCCAGCTCTCGACGGATCCTCAGGCGACACAGCGACTGAAGCGACAGGGGATTACCTGGTACAAAGCATTCAATCCATTCATTCAGCCGACAAAGGGAGTTGAATTGACAACAGAACAATTCAGGAAAATAACCTTACTTCAATCTTAACTCAATCAGAACTTGAACAATTCAAAACGGTACAAGGTACTAATTTTAATACAGACTTGAAAAAAATTGCTTTCTATGGGAACACAAAATTCTTTAAATTCAAAAGAAATACTTTCTCATGCATTAGTCTCCTCACAGAGTAAATCCCTGATAGGTTGGTAGTGAGGAGAGGAGGGAGGAAGGGATTCTGACACATCATTTCCATGTTTGTCCTCCTGTCCCATATTCACACCGAATTCTCTGAGGACCCTTAGCCGCCACACCCAGTCCTTCTCCAAGCTGAAATTTCCAACATTTTTCTCAAGTCTCGACATCTCAATCGCATAGAAATTGCAACAAGGTCAGAACAGAACAGAACAAGGTCTAACCTCTTGTCAATGACACAATGGGGAAGACTTTTCTGGCAAAGGAGTTCGGGTGTGATTCTCTCCGTGTGGAGGTGGGAGAGATCGGGGAGGGCGCCACAGCAAAGCAACATCAAAGTGGCTTCGAAGGACCCCGCTTTGATGGAGGAATGGAGCGGCCATGTCGGGTAGCCCTTGCGGTAGAGGTGCTTCAGGCTCTCTGAATCTGCCCCATGCTCCATCAACAGCTGCAAGGATTTTGGGAACATGATAGGAATTGTGGTTACATTTTGTAAATGCATGGATTTCATGAAAAATAAACAACTTTAGGTATAAACGTTGCAGAAAATCAAGAGAACAGAGTCATATCAATGAAATGACAGAGTCAAACAAGAGAAGAGAAAGAAAAAATTATCCAACAAGAAGTTAATGAGGTTAGCACAAATAACCAGAATTTGTCTGTGTCATGCAGCTCTGGTGGGGTTTCCAGCAGGGCATGGGGACTTTTTCTGTTGCCAGCCTGATTAAGGGAATGGTTAGCATCTTTTTGTTCCAGAAAATAACAACGTAAGACATATGATTGTCAAATTCTTCTTTTGGGAGAGGGGGGATAGGCTGTTTTCCATTCCCAAGAGAATGTCTGACCATAAGGAGGGTGAGAGTTGAGGAAAGCTGATCTACAGGAGGAAGGGCCAATGCAAGTCAAAGCAACCTCGCTTTCCTGCATTGCAGGAACACCTGCCTTAGGCTTGCTCACAATCCAGGATTTCAAAAAATAATATTACACAAGAGCTTAGAACTGGACTAATTTAGGAAATGGGCATTCAGGTATCATTACCCGAATGGCACAGGGGTTGATGGCTTCAACAGCAACCATGAGAGGAGTGGTGAGGTTGCAGGGATGGCCCTCAGGGTCTGCACCGGCATCCAGAAGAACCTTGGCAATGTCCACAAACCCTGAATGAATCGCCACCATCAGTGGGGTCTGGAACTTCACATCCGGTAGGTCAACATCAGCACCATGCCATAGAAGCACCTTCACACATCCCATCTGGTTTGCTATCAGAAAGAAAAGAGGGAAAGAATTTCGTCATATAAAAGCACAAAAAAATTAGCAAATCTGCAACAACTTCAATGACTTTTGGATGAGGAGCATTAAGGAGATGGTTGGTTTCCCAAGAAATCAACTTGATGTGATGTGTTGCATTGATTTTCAAATATAACAAGTCTGGAAAGGTCAAAACAAATGTGAAAGTATCCAATTTTGGTTCTCAAGATGACCAGTCCAGCTGACTGTTTCAAATGTACAATCCAGATCAACTCTCACAAAACCAACATGAAGAGACAGAAGGCAATGGCCCTGATCATTTGTAAGACAGGTTTTGAAAGAATGTTCAATTCACCAGTGACTGCAAGACGCAATGGAGAGGCAATGAAAGGCCTGAGTCGTAGATTCACTAGACGCTGGACCTCTTGTGATTCAAGGAGAGATTTAAGTGCATGGACATCTCCACGAAATGCAAGGTCATGCAAAATTCCCTCCTTCACAGGTGAGTCAGACTCCAAACGGTCTCTGTCGGCCAGCTGCACCTCTTCCACCACTTCCTGCATCCTTCTTTCCTCATCTGATCAAAGAGGGAAAATGAAATACAATTGTTCTCACAATTAGAACTGAACTCTTTCCCTGGCAGATGGAAAGTGAAACCTCCAACCTTCACCTGGAGGCATCAATGGAGGAGACATTGGCGTCTCCTGGGCATCAAACGACATCAATGCCAGGGAAAGTGTTGTATTTAGGTATGTCTTTGGGTTGAAAGTTTGAAGTTTCAACCATAAAAATTTTCCAAAAATCATGTTTGAATGGCAGCAACTCAGGATGACCCCTGAGAGTGAGATTCAGGACTCAAGTCAGCCACATGGTTCAGTAGTCAGATGTATCCCATTCTTAAGAGAACCCTCAGTCAAATCAACACATTCAAGAATGAGTAGAATAAAGTTCATACTGTACCAATCCAACAAAATGAATCTATCACAATTGACGTATGAGTGACAACTGAACTGCATGCTTACAAGAGTCATAAAAAAGGGAGAGAAGGAAGTCGTCAGACCTGCTGAATGCTTTCAAGCACTTTCACTGCACAATAACAATTGCTGGCATGCCCCTCATAGTATTGGAATTCATAATTTTAACTGGATAAACCTGGATTTCAAGGCTAAAAGAACAAACACCTGCCTTTGCTTATAAATGTTGCCAGGAAATGACCCTATAGTAATGAAAGAGTGAAAGAAAGCAACAATTGAGAATGAAATTGCATGGAGGCAAGAAGTGCAGGCCCCTAATTTTGCAATCAGAAATTAAGCCCTCAATTCTTCAAGCAATCAAGAACTAATACCATTCCTAAAGCAATTCCTTGTCAGTATACATGCAACAGTCATCACTGAAATATGTCAAGAACCCCATAACATGTTCACAGAAGATGATGGCATTCTCCTGTGGTTCTCCTTGTCCCAATGCTATCAATATTAATTTTAATAGAAATTGTGCATCACCAAAGATTATCAATTTTGGAAGAAAAAAAACTTGATAATGTCACATGTGAGATACAAGTGTTGTAGGAGGAGATATAGATCTGTTTTGGAGATACAGAGCGAGGGCATGTCGAGTGCCTGTGCTGAGTCGATGCGGGTGGGAAGCTCGCTCCTCAAACCATGTCTGTGCAGCAACTTCATCCTGAATGTGTAGCCCTGACTCATTGACTGTAGTCACAGGAATCGATTCTGGAATCCCATTGATGTCTACATTCACAATGGCTTCCACCAACGAAAGTGGGAGCCAGGCTGCTGCATCCACTTCTGTATGATCCAACTGGTAAAATCAATGATACAAAATATTGAACACCTCATCTGCAAGGGATAAAGCTTCCTAGTATGTTACATGACAAATTAAAAGGACTAGCTGGCATCAAGTGAATAAAAGTTCAACTAACTGGTTAGACTTAGAATCACTATTTCAATGAAATTCTGCACTGATACAACTGATGACCTTAGAAATCAGAATAAGCCAGTCTAAAGAAAAAGATGGTGGGCTTAACTTAGATATGCCCCATAAGTAGAAAATGGACACCCATGCATAAGTTCCCATGAATACTTCACACCTTAAGTTGCTCCTGGAGCTCCTGATGGGGAAGAGTACTGTGGAAATGGAAATAGACGACAATGTGATGGCGAACTGGGTCTCCCAATGCCAGCATGGGAGGATAAGTCGACTCCCACAGCCCCAACACTGACTCTTCAGAAAAATGGTCCATTTTAAAGTCCAGCCCTGTCTCTTCTCTCAGTTCTCGGAGCACACCTTCTTCCATGGTTTCACCCGTCTCTACAAATGGATCAAATCCCAGTCAGAAATCTTCAAAGTTTTCAAAACTGAAGCCTTCAGCTTCAAATATGATGCACAAACCAATATGGCCCCCTGGGGGTACCCAGACAGATGGGAATGTCTTCATATGAGCAGCTCTTCTTGTCATCAGTACATATGAATCTGAGGATTCAAGAATCACTGAAACCCCCACATCAATTCCTCGGGAGAGATGTTCCTCAGGAATGGATGCAAGTAACTCAGGACCCATATGTTCAATGGGGCAGAATGGGGGGTGCTGGAATGAAAAGAGACATTGATAGTAGGGAGATTGAGTGCGAAAATGCCCCAATGATGAAATAAATTTTTTTTTTGCTTATTAGGTCAACTTATCATCCTAAAATAAAATAGGCTTACATACAGTCAGTTTTGTGAGACAGCTCCAATATAAAACTCAAAGCAGCATAAACTACTGCAAAAGCTAATCCCACACAGTATATAGGACTGAGGATTTTGTGATATAAGCCACAATGAATGCTCTCACAGACTCAAATAATCCAAAGCCTTTCAATAAAGGCTACTAGCCTGGCAAGCCCTATGCAAGGGTCAAGAACCATGTCTGACTGAAGTGGAGAAGCTTAGGAATGAGGGTTGTGCAAACACCAAGCAAGACTGCTTAAAAAGCCTCTATTTTTACTTCACTAAAACAATCAGAAAATTTGTTTCAGGACTACAGATGGTTAATGGTTTTGAATGTAGCTTGCCAGGCATGTATAATGAAAGGTTTTGATGAAACCTATGGAAAAAGCATATGAGAAACTGAAAAATTACACTACCTTAATGGAAGTAAAGATGGGCTTGAGAGAAGAATCAGATATTCCTTTGAAGACAGTCTCTGACAATTGAGGAGCAGTGCGGTTGTGAATCTGGCATATTCTCGAGCAGATGGGGACATGCGGAGGGGAGACCTGAACAGGACTAGGGAACAGATGCAATTGGTCATTTTGGAAGATGCAGCCTATCAGACCTTCACCCTCCAGGGCGAAGTGGTTCAATGCACATTGGGAAAAAGGGGCAGGCACATGTTCACTCAAATTCACTTCCAGTCTCTTTGAGAAGAGGTTCTTGGGCCAGTACACTCTGACTCGCTTTTGCGACATGATCAACACTTCACCTACATGGGGCACCAAAGTATTATTCCTGAGGATTGGTTGCTATAAATTCTAAAAAACACTACCACTTTCATTCCCACTCAAACTTCAATCTACTCCAAATGTATCTAAACCATTGATATAGGTTTGGCACATTGTGGTAATTTTTTTATCCCAGTCAAAGTTCCTCCTTTCTTTCAAGGGGATTTCAAATTTCACATAGGAAGTGTAAATGTCAAATAGTAATGACACGGAGTTATCATAAAGGACACGAAACCGTGGAGGGAGAAAGGCAAAGTTTATGATTTGTGCTGGCGGCCAGATGGCCCATTCGGCTAGATATATCCTCCACCCCTTTTGTTGGATTTCATTGGTCAGTTCTTGAACTTCGGAGCTCTCCAGAAGTCCCATGGTCACAAAGAATACAAAAATGCAGATGGGTGAGAAGATGAGTTGGTCCATGAGGAGCTTCTTGGCGATGCAGTTCAGCGCTCGTCCAGGGAACCTCTGGTCCAGGTACCGGTAATAGAAGTGGGTGACGATGCCTACAGTCAGTCCACTGACACCCATGTGTGAAGTCCTGAGTTTGTCCCAAGTTCCAGCCTCGGGGATGAGGAGGTCCTTGTGCTGCACGATGACGTCTCCCAGCGCCGAGAGGGAGATCGAAATCCCCACGTTCGTGACGAGGAGATATTGCTTGGAAAACATTTGTCTCAACGCCTTCTCGGCATTTCTCACTATTTGCAGACTTCGGATACGAAAGGCAAGCTGGATCATTTCCCTGAAAATTCCTCATGCGAGCACGTGGGTCCAAATTAAGACACTGGCTCGTACGGCAGATCAGAGGCAAACGGTTAGGATATGGTCTTTGAGCCTGGACTGCTAAACCTATACAGACGAACGAAACAAAACGTTATGCGTGGAGCCCACTGGACCTCGGCGAACTACCACAATAGTCCCGAGACCGATACACACCGAAACAACAGCCTCACGTGGTTGCATGGCGACGACTGAGGCGAGAGTCGAGGCCAGTGATGCTATCCGTCCTTGAGCTAATTTCCACCAGAGCCAAAATATGCAGTTTCGCCCCACATACATTCTAGAAATTTGAAACAAATACCATCTCTTGCATGGAATATCCTGATAATGCATGTAAATTGGCGTCAAAGTGACATTTTGGACCTGGGATGCAAGACGTAATTCAGCATCCCCGACGCGATACGCCCCTAAGCTACAGGTGTAGTGTTTACGAAGAGTTTAAGGGGGGAACTCAAGGACACCGTTTTTTGCGCATTTCATGCGTTATTTCCTCCATACTTTTGCTTTTTTTTTTAATTGGGGAGAGGCACTACGCCGCTGCCTTAAGCTATTACGCAATTTCGTTGAGGGGAAACGAGGGGAGATGAGAGCTCATCTCACCCGAATCCTGACAAGGTGAAGCCAAAACGCGCGATCGTGGCATCGTGCCGATTCGCGCCTGACCTTGCAAGCCTCAGTACCATTCCGAACGTGTAATCCCCACCTCCACCTCTCCCTACACCGCTGGTATACACGTTAAGTACATCAATTAAATGGTTGAAATTCACCTCTTTCGCTTCATAATTTTCAATGGAGAGCCTTTCTAGGCCCATCGCGGATCGGATATACGTCTTGTTAAGCTCAAGTCCGTTGAAGCAATTGAGGATGGAAGGATAAGAAAAACTCTGAGAGCTAGAAGTTAGGATATGCGTATCGACAATCTTTTCACCGTCCAATACAATTTTTTCTTTTCATTTTTCTTTACTTTCCTTGGTGACTTGCAACGCGAAACTGAACCTTGTGTCGAACGAAAACGGAACCAAATTTATTTGCAAAAGTCATTGCATTGCAAGGTTACTTGCACAACAAGGCAGCTCAAACACGACTGTCGAAGTGAATGTCCAGTCTCTCCATTTCCATTCCGGACGCCATGCCAGGGACGAGGCTCGCAACATAAATGCAGCGAGAAACGAGTGTGGTGTCATCAAAGCAGACTGATATACAGTCGCACAGATCTGCTGAGTCGGTCAGACTGCTCTGGTGCGTCGAAAAAGAATGAAAAGGTGAACGCCCCTGGTGGGACTTGAACCCACAATCTTTGGCTCCGGAGGCCAACGCCTTATCCATTAGGCCACAGGAGCTGAGGCCATATTCTCTCTTTGTAAATGGGCTATTTGAAGTCATGCGCCATCCGTTCACGGGAGTCACCCCCTTCGTTTCGTGGAAGTGGACGCTTGAGTCCCTTCCGAAATGAAATAAACATGCATTTGGCCTCTTCCGAAGGAGTGAGGGGTGAAAGGTATGGGGAAAGGGTTCGCACACATCTGTGCGACAGTAGACCGAAGGCCAAGCCACCATGTTGCATGGGACCGTGGGTTGTAGCTGACCTCGACTGGACCCGTCTGCATCTTAGTAGCCTTCTGTCGGGTGTGCTAAGCGATATTTCCCGATTATTTTTGACGTGGCCGTCTTTTTTTGCGTGTCGAGTCGAGAGGGGCTCCGTTAGGCCTGCATAGCGAAGGCCTACGTGTCATATCTGAGGGTCGTTCCCGGACGAGGCGATAAAGGCTCGTTATCTATGGGCTCCATGGAGCAAGGCTCGGTTTCCTGTAACTTCCTCAGTGCCAAGATGGCCAAGGTAAAGAGAGTCATCGACGATGCCAGGGATACTCAGAACCCCGAACTGGACCTCGTCGATAAGGGCATCGCCAGCTTCGAGGAGATGCCTGGACTGTGTGAGTTTCTGAACATGAGCACATGAAGTTCTGAATGTAGTCCGTCGAGAATACAAGCAGTCTTAAGGAATTCATATCGGTTACGGATTTTAAACTGTCAATGTTGAGCAAAAAAATCATGGAAAATAAGGTTCTGCTGTCTCAGCTTATAGGTTAAGCCGATGTTGAGTCTAGTCTGTAGGCTCAACTATGCCTGGATTTCATTTTTGCATTAGGAACTTCATGGGAATGCAGTTGGCTCAAGGCATTCATATTTCATGTTGTGCAATTTTCTTTTATTCCAGTCGCCCTGGCAAACATCACCAGGCTGTCTCTATCCCACAATAAAATAGAGAGTGAGTTTGTCTTCATTCTGGACAGCATGTAGGCTAAGGGGTAGCTGAACATGACAAAATTAAAACTTGAAACTATTTTACCATTTGTCAGTCACAATGTTTTTGTTTTTTAGGTCTTCCCCCTGCTATCGCCAACTTGGAGCACTTGGAGATCCTGAATCTCTTCAATAACCATATTGAGGACCTTCCAACTTCACTTTCATCCATGCCAAACTTGAGGATCTTAAACTTGGGGTTTGTCTTTCATGACAAATAGCTTGCAATATGCTGAATTGCTAAGCAATATTTAGAAAATTAATGTATTTCATTCCTCTTACTTGCAGAATGAACAGACTAAGTAAACTCCCAAGAGGATTTGGTGCCTTTCCTGTACTCGAGGTGCTAGACCTCACATACAACAATCTGAATGAACGAGCTCTTCCTGGGAATTTCTTCATGATTGGTAAATGCGCTATTCAGAAATACATTATTTTCAGTGTTTTTTGTGCATATGAAGTTGCAAATTACATGGTTTCTCTTTCAGAGTCCTTGCGTGCTTTGTACCTTGGCGACAATGACTTTGAATTTATCCCACCAGAAGTTGGAATGCTGAAGAATCTCCAGATTGTGAGTTAGACATCATTAAGCTATATGTCAGAAAAGCCTGGGGGATGAATCTTTCTATGAATTAAATTTTATACTAAGGATAATATTATCGCTTGAAGTCCTGTTTCACCAACCAAAGAACAGTGACAAATATACATAGAAGGAAAAATAAGTTAGCTAAACACTGGAAATGTGTTTATTTGTGGTCCTACTTTATGTAATGACTTAGTCCAAGGGCATAGATGAAATATCCAATGTGAATTGAGATGAAAATGAATTTGGTTGTCCATATAATGGAAGATGCCAGATTCAAGAGAGTCTTTTGCTTAGAATATGGGAGAGTGTATGGACAAAAAAATTTGTTCATTTTCTGGGTTAGTGATATCGGTATGTGTTAATTTCTTGGAAATGTTTGATATGTTAGGTGCAGATCTACTTTGTAACATTTTGCTGCCTTCTCCAACTGTGTTCAATAAGCACATGACATTGTCATGTCATGTGGTTAGCAACATTGTCGTTATTACTGTGGAAAAACACTTCAGATATGCTTCTGGTCATTCATTCTTCACATTGTTTTTTCTGATAAGGACAGAGTGAAGTACTGATATTTGATTCATAAGTGTTGTGAAGTGATGATATATGCCGCTTGTTTAATAGTACTACGTGATTCTTATCAAAGTCACTCCTGAGATTTTATACCCTTTTTAGCTCCTTATGGGATCACAGGTCACTCAAAACTCATTGATAACAATGTACCAGCATTTTGTTTTCTACACCTTGATATCAGCATGTTACATATCACCCTAATGATTCCTACAGTTATCAGCAGTATCTGCCAGTATCACTCACCTCTCAATGTGAAAATTTTTGTTTTCAGTTGGTGCTTCGCGACAACGACATTATACTTCTCCCAAAGGAGATTGGAGACCTGCAACGCTTGAGAGAACTTCATATTCAAGGAAATCGGCTCTTGGTCCTTCCTCCCGAAATAGGTGAGTGAAGATCTAATATATATATTTCCTCCTTTGCCATGATATTGCTGCCAATCAGAATTTTAACTGGTTTTGGATTAGCTCAATCCATTCTTCAGCCCTTTACCTATAATCAAATCCAAGAATGGGATAATGAGTCACAATATGGTGATTGCTGTGTCATCCATCAGGGACTCTGGACCTGGTGGGGTCAAAGAGTGTTCTTCGAATGGAGAATAATCCCTGGGTCACTCCCATAGCTGACCAGCTTCAAGTTGGCGTCTCCCACGTCATTGAATACATCCGCTCAGAGACCTACAAATAGTGAGTAGAATTCAGTGCACAAGAAGCATGTTGCATGCTTTTCCTGGGGATGCACTGATGGCAGGATTTGGTCTTTAAGGTAAAATGTGGTTTCACATGCATCAGGCAGTGTCCACGCCAAGAGTGACAAAGAGAGAAGTTATCAAATGATTAGTTCTAATATCACTATGTTTAGCTTTCATCATGCTGGCTTTTCAGCCAAATCAAGCATTATTCCAATGCTATATATTGTTCATTCATTTTCTTGAAAGTTTGTGAATTCAGCAAAGTCATTTGGTGAATTCACATCTTGTGAATTAGATCTTTGCCAGGATATCTGAGCATTTGATTTGATATCCAGTCTAAGCCAAAGAAGGAGATTTATCTGTGGAGAAATCTCCTTCCTTCTTCCTGGAGTCCTGGAAATATTCTTGCAGTTTATTCGGAATGATTCTGTTTGAGCCGTTGCCATTATTTTAGGCCTGAGTGAATGAGGGAATACAAATCATTCATGTGTAATATTTAAGAATTTTTCTTGAAATAGAAACACCTTCACCTCTTGGAAATGATGCATCAAATTTTATCACATTTACACATGTATTTGCATATGTACTCTTCATATTTTGTGCATAGAAGTTTCACCACCTGCGTGGTATGTGCTGTGACATGACATCACCTATATCACATGTCAGCAGTCAATGCTGATGATTGCTTGTGAATTAGTACAGCCCCAGATTTTTAAATTGATATCAATACCATATGCATTTACTCTGATATTCATGTTTCAGACAAGTAATAGGTTTTGGAGCCATTTGAAAACTGTCCAGTTTGAAAAAAAAAATTTGCATGGAAAAAGAGTCCTCATGCTGATTTTGCTTTGTTGTTTTGCAGCTTGTACAGTCGCCAGATGGCAGCAGGAGTGCCACCACCTCCACCCATCAGTGACAAGAGCAAGAAGATTTCACGCAAGAAGGAAAATTGACCTCCATACCCAGTCAAAACTCGTCGATCAATTCAGGGATCACACTGTGCCATCCACGAGATGAAGCATGATTCTTGTGAAACTAATCTCATGGGAGTGTTACCTTTAACCACCCACTGCAGCTAATTCTCGTGTGAAAGGTTGCTCTGTCTGCAGGCCCCCTGTCTTTGACTTTGTTGATTTTAGTTTAATTTTACATGCCTCATTTGAAATTGGCATTCAAGAATGATGATCTGCTCAGCCTGTTGAGTGAATTTCAATTTATTAGTCAGAATTATCCAATTTTTTTATCATTCAATTAATGCCCACAGTAAATTTTTGGCAAAATTGAGTCAAAGATAATTGGCTGATTCTCCAAAGGGTGTGCCTGCTTCTTCAGAATAAGCCTTTATGTATGAAGTACTATTGATGTGTGAACAGTAAGATGACCAAAGACTGACAAAAATTTATGTTTTTATATAATATTTATCATTTCAGCCTTGTGTCATTAGTGCATGACAATTGTCAGCAGGAAAGTTTTGAATGAATTTTTTCAAATCTCTTCCTCTCACGTTTTTCTGGTGTCATCTTGGTATTGACTAACATCCCATTGCCAGTCTAAATATGTCCCAAATATGCCCTGTGTTTTGAAACTGAAAAAAATGTATTCTTATATTCTACTGCCTGGTGCTCCCTCCTCTATCACACTGAGAGGTGCTACTACTAGTTTTCGCTTGAATAAATGTTTGTCACTTTTTTTCTTATCCTCATGACTTCGTTATTTTTTTTGAATGGGCATCACCTTGGGAGGCAAGTCTGCTTTCCATGGGCTGCACATATCTCGTGCACACATGATTAACCCCAGTTTAGGAGCAAGTCAAGATTAAATGTCGTTGTATCATGTGCAGGTGATGCCACATTTCTTACCATATCCTCTTATTTCAGATAATTTGAGTTCAGGCTTGGTATCCTCAGACAAGTTGCAGAGCCAGGAAGCCATGTTATGTCCTGCCAGATGTCACTCGATGACCCGAAATTTGTGCCTTCGCATGGACAAACCCCAGTTTCCACAAGAAGAGGAATAGGAAGGGGATCAAGGTGCATCTCTTAAGATTTTCTAAAGGGTGCCATGCCTTTAACACCATCTCAATTAAAAATGTTTGGATTTTCCATAGGTATTTTTGTGTAAAACTGCAAATTGCATCAGTTTTTCCTTGGAGCTAGAAAAAAGGAACAGATATGAAATAGTGGAAAGTTGATGGGATTCATTCAGTGGCATATTTTACAGGGGGGTGAGGGGGCAGCTGCTCTAGGTGCCCCTGGGACACTTAGAAGTAACACTTTTCCCACCTGATCGAGGGTTCAGGGATCAGGAGGGGGAGGGCACTGCCCCCCCCCCCCCCCAACCCTTCAGCCAAAATACACCACTACATTCATTCCATAATGGGAATAGGTGTATATGAAGAAAGAGGCATTATAAGACTATTAGGAATTTATCATAGATTCTTCTTGCTTTTTTTCTTAAGTCTCTTTCCTAGTTTTTTCCATAGGCAATAATGCACATTTTATGTTCAAATTCAAATGCTCGTGAATGTAATTGAGGCATAATCCTGCACCAACTGTAATGAATGAATGAAAATTTTCATAAGAGCATTTACGAGGGATTTCTCAAAAGTTCTGCCAGTAGCCCCAAAGAAATAAAAAATCTAGTGTTCTATGATTAAATTCTGATCTTTATTGCCACAGGCAACTATTTCACACCTTTTCCACATACTCCCCACTGATTTTAATGCATTTTTTCATGCAATGGATCCAACAATCAAAGCACTGTTCAAAATCCTTCTTTTCAAGCCTGTCAAGCTGTTCATTCACTGCCTCTTTGAGCTCTTCCCAAGTTTTGAAGACTTTTCCACAGAGTGGCTCTTTGATTTTTGGAAAGAGCCAAAAGTCACAGGGTGCCAAGTCAGGTGAGTATGGTGGTGGAGTCAGCAGGTCGATTCCAGAATCAGCAATGAAGTTGACAGTTTTCTGTGCAGTGTGGGCAGGAGCGTTGTCATGATTCAAGAACCACCGGCAAAGTTCCTTCTTGGGGCAACCTCCCAGCAGCTTTTCGAAAGCTTCTGGCAAGCACCTCTCTGTGTACCGTGCAGGTGTCACTGTAGACCATTCTTCAAGGGGAATTGATGCTGCAATGCCAGCAGATGAGAAGAAGATGGCAAACATGGTTCGACCAGTTGATCTGGCCCGACGAACTTTTGCTGGTGGAGGTGCCCCACCTCCACCAGCAAAAGTTAGCTGACCAAACCATGAACTGCAGCTTTGTTTCTGGATCATTATTGTAAAACCAGGTCTCGTCACCTGTTACAATCTTTTTGATTGTGGACGCAGTGCCTTCTTTGAACTTTTCAAGGAAAAACTTGCAGAAACACACCCTAGCCTCCTTTTGCTCCTGGGTCAGGAGATGCAGCACCCATCTGGCAGACTTCTTCGTGTAGTTGAGTTTTTCAGTCAGGAATTGCCAAATTGACTTGGCATCTATCCCAAGACTCAGTTCTAGCTTCTCCAGGATAACTCATCCATCTTCCTCCACTGCCCCCTTCACAGTCACCACATTTTTATCGGTAGACAGCCATTTTTGGGCGTCCTTCACTGGGATCGTCACTAAGGCTGAATTCGCCATGCAAAAAACGCCAAGACCACCTGGCAACTGTTGAAAGATCAGGCACTTGCCCATGAAACACATTCTTTAATTTTTTGCAGCTTGCAGTTGTCGACAGACCACCCGAGAAGTTGTACAACATGAAGGCGTGCATGGTTTCCTTAGCAAAAACTGCTTGGGCGCGTGGAACCGGCTCAGAAATTGCTCCCTTTCTTGTCTCCATTTCTGTTGGGAAGGGTGAAAAACATTTTTTTTAAAAAAATAAGTTTCCCAAACTGGTCCAGTGCTTTGCAGCTGCCTCCAATGACGACTTGCAGGCTACTGGCAGAACTTCTGAGAAATCCCTCGTATATGGTATTGTTACTTTGTCTGAGATATACCTCGTGAGTTTTGCAAGATTTTCTGAATTTTATTGTTACTGGTTTCTCTATAATTTCTTGTGACCATGTTAAGGTAGTGGATTTTGGCCAGATGGTGCAAATTACATTATTGAAGCTTTCAGTCTAGGTGAACTGAGATCAAAGACACCCTGGGATCATGTAGTGGCTGCTGCTCCTACAGCTGTGAGACTCTTAGACCTTCAACAACTCCCTGTCCTTGCTCTAACCTGCTTTTGGAGAAGAGCATTGCTGACCAGGAAAATTTAGAGATATTACTTCCTTTTTCTCAGTGATTCATCAAATGAGTCAACTAAGCTTAATTTGCTTTAACCAACCAGCAATCATTGTTTGCTTGGAAATTGTCAGAGAAAGCTTCTAAAAAAACACATCTAAAAATTTGGACTATATGCAACTGATAAAATTTTAAGGGTATTATGTAGCTAAGAAGAATGTGAATGATTTTAATTATGCCATCCCTTCATGTTTGAGGTATTGAGCAAATACTCAATTTAGTTGTGTTGATTCAAGGGGGAATGAAGGATGCACATGGTTATAAAATATTTCAATTTTAATTTTAAAGTCCATGTCTCATTATTATTACTGTTCACAATCAGGTTAATTTTTTTTAGTGTTTCTTGGCATTTCAATACTCCTTTTCAAAATATAACTTGAAAGAACATATGGAAAGAGGCTGGGAAAAGAATATCTGAAAATGACTGACTTCAGATTTCCAAAATCATGTTTCCTCTCAGTGATCTGCTCTATATGCTTGGAAGGACACAACTGGCATATCATAAACAAATGATCCAGTAGTTTACAGTGCTCTGGTGAAGCTGACAGTCATTATTCAATAAAAGTTCTTAAGCTCAATTCGGAAAGTTCTTGAAATCAGTGAGGTCCAAATGGAACCTTAGGGCATGATAGAGCTTGCACGAGGGGAACATTTTGAATGGATGGAATATCCTTTGTATTTTAATGTATTTTATTCAGTACTGATGGCTCAGCTGGATCCACCTGCTACAATTGCTCAAGTATTTGGACTTTATCTGTCTTGTATTTATGTCCTGCATGATACCTAAGTCATGGTATAGATTTAAAATGCTGTAGCTTGAGAATTTCACAATAATTTCCTGACAATAATGGAAATCTGAAAGCTTCATTCATAACTTTAATTTTGATGTCCCTTTCTTTCTTCAGCTTACAGTACTGAACCTATTCTAATCAGGGCTGTACCGATTCTAAAATTTTGCCAATTCCTGATGAATGTTTTCAAAACATGACCGATACCAATTTTTGTGCCTTATTGAGTAGTATGAGCAATTTGCACTATGCGACACTGTCAAGATGGCATTAACTTGAAGAGGGTGCATCAGTTCTGTAGTTGAGGAAGTGAAAGGCCATTCCAACGATTTATTGATTGAAATCACAAAGAAAAACCACAGTTACAAGTAGGGTCCAAATCACTAAATGCCAAAAAATATATATATTCTGCTTCCAAAAAAGGAGTTCTCCTGCAAGGTTGAGATTCACATCACTTCCTTAGCATTTTATGTAACTATAACAATTTGAAGCAACAAGATCACAAATAAAAAAGAATTTCCACTGAAAATGAGGTCAAAGAGTCTTTTCATCACATAAAGTCTCAGCCAAAACGACAACTTCCTGTTACAGAGGTAGCATATGCATAGATTAGATTCATGACTAACGAGGGAATTGTCACATCTAGCTCCTAATGCTTCAGTACTCAAAATTCAAGAACTTCAAACTGGATCATAAGAAAAGAAGCATATCTGCTTCTTTTTTTTTTTTTTTTACCAGAGACACTTTTCCTATTATCAGAGTACACCAGCCCAGTGGTTCTCAACCTTTTTTATGTCGCGACTCATCCCGTTTTCACGCGACCCACAAATTTAGAAGCTCCCAAAAATGATGCAATCGTGTGACGCGCAAAAAAAAGGAATTAAAAAAAAAATCGGAAATGACGCTTTCAATATATTGCTCTGGACACAGATGATTCCTTCATTATTCCTCTCGGGGCTCCTTACCTCGTCGAGCTTCCTTTGTAATGAACTCGGCTGGTTCATACTTCGATGTTGAATGACTTCGATCTAAACGCCGCTTCAATTTTGATGCATTGGCCAGCAGTTCGCCATAAACGGTGCATTCTGGTTTCATACGTTGACATTGAAACCGCAGACGGTATGAATAATTATGCTCCCGGATCGGTACTAGTTTTGACTTTTCTGCTGGAGGATAGCCGACTTCTGTCCCAATGACTCCACCGAGATACTGCCATTAGTACCAGTGCTTGCACTCGGTTTCATCAGGAAACGATACACCTGCATTACGATGTTAAACCTGAATAAGTAGCTACGGAAAATTATGGATGATGTGAATTCCGTGAACTTCCCCTCCCAAAACATAGAGAAGGAAATATATCAGTTGGTAGCAGAAAAACGAAATCGAGAAAATAAACTTCGGCTTCTGCCCACAAAACCTGCGTCACCCCACCCACAGCAACAAAATGAGAATGCTGGAAATAACAAGGACTGGAGATGAATGTTGGGGGGAGCAATACTGATAACAAAAAAGACATTTTACTATTTGCCTTTTCTTTGTATTGTTTGTCAGGAAATCCCTGTGCTACCTCTAATCTGAATTACGCAGTAGATAAGATCATTCTTGGAAAGTTTCGCTCATGCAATATTGCCCCGTAATTCGGTTTGGTGCGTATGATTCATGCCTTGTCTTTTCTAATCCCTCCCAAATTTGCAACATATTTCACTTTTAGTTCTCTCCCTTCTCTCGCGACGGTTGAGAACCACTGTACTAGCCTGTACATGCCCTACCGTCCCATCAGGGAGCATGCTTAGGCTGCATTATCTGTCTAACTTCGAGCTTATTTTTAATCCTATCATATAGGAATCGTAAATGCCATTCAACGTAGTGATATAACTTAGTGAAATGACTTCATAGGCCTGGGCTAGGCCAGCGTTAAAAGACTATATTCCCTTCATGGTAAGAAGTCTATTCAAGGCGTATGCATAAAATACGGATAATAGCTATTACTTCCGGACGGTTCAGTGCAGCTATTCGGTGCACGTGCTCGTTTGTAGCGTGGTGCATGTGGCGAGAAGAATTAGAGCTCATTTTAGAATCTGGTTTCCGTCTATATGCCCGAAGTTTCGTTCCTGGAAATAAGCGCAGTACATCGTAGTACATCGTAGAGCTTGAGAATTTGACTATCTTATGCGCATGGAGTGTAAAAAAAAAATCGGCGGATAGGCGGGCACGAAGATCGGTTTTACCAATTTAGCGAAAAACGCATGAATCGGCCGGTCTCCTATGGCCGATCATCAGATCGGTACAGCCCTAATTCTTATATAACTACTATGGGTTACAAAATCTGTTCTTAAAATGGAAATGTAATGTTTCTGGGGTATTAGTGAGAGAGGCAAAACACATCATTATGTATAAATTACAGGATCATTAGTGAGAGATATGGCACTTTTCTCATCCAAGTCTCATTTAACTTTTTTTCTTCAGACAGAAAAAGTTAGATCAGGCAGGACTCTTCTGAACTGAAAAAGTTTGTTATGGCCGTCACTCAGCTACTGCACAATTATGGGGCACCTTTGGTTAGTGATGTAATGAGTAACCTTCAGTAATTTTCATTTCAATAATGCTCCCAGCCAAGGCAAGAGGGAAAAGCTCATGTTTCCTTTTTCATAAATTTTGTCTCCTTGAAAGGTTCCTACGAAGTTTTTCTAGCAGAACTGAAAAAATGTAAGTTGAGAATGAGGCTTTCCTATAAGTTATAGAGCAATTAAAATCCTTTAGATATGCCTGTGCAACAGCATTTTAAACATGCGTCAAGATTTATTAATCACTCCAAGCAATCTGCTATTGCAAGGAAGTTCTAGCTAACATTCAGATGAAGTAATGACATGATAGTCCTGATTAGGTAGAATTTGGTTTGGTTTTTGGCATGATAATGTATACCCACAATCCAGAGCAGCATTCTTGATTCCCCACAGTGCCATGGAGCTCTCCGGGACTCGAGGGCAGGAGAGGGGCAGACGTGGGAGAGGAGGCCACTCTCAGCATCCTCTTCCCTTCAACTGGACTGCCCACCCAGAGGGGCCAAGTCACATCCTCACCGGACGTGATCGAACTTCACTCGTTGCACATCGACCCGACATCGATGACCCAAATGCCTTCCCTTCTTTGGGTGGAGATAGTGCACCAGCCAATATGCCATCTTTCCAGCATTCCTTTGCTACTGCCCTGAAAGCTCCAAAACCAGAGCCAAGCCAAGATGTGCCTCTGGAACATCAGAGTCCCACAAAACAGGGTAAAACAAAGAGGAAGAAGTTGAATGGAGTAACATGAGAGACATCTAGAGTTGATGCAGGTGTTGAAGTTGAAATGAGAAAGTTAGTGCAGGTGATGAGTTTAGGATTTGCTCAATCATTCCAGTTGCTGGTGGCTCAACAACTATAAATCAACTAACATGGCAGCAGCAAGGGCTTGGGAAGGTGAAGAGAAAAAAACAGCTTAAAGAAGAAAGGATGACTGCCAAGATCTCCAATTTAAGGTACTATTTATTGTTAAACTTTAATTAAATCTGAAAATAGGTTGTAAAATGAATGAAATATCATGGATTCCATTCTAATTCATTGATCATAGTAATAATTCTTAAAATCCAAGAGTATGGGGGAAGTTGTTTAATTACACTTGGCATGCTGAACATGTTTGTGTGCCTTTGGATGTTGCTGAATACATTTCCAATTCCTTTCAGTGCCATGAAGGGCCTGGAAACTCAAGGGCTGATTGGAGGTCGATTTCAGATACAAGGCCATTCTCCTCGCCCTGTCCCAATCAACCGGACTTCATTGCCACGGGGACGAGGTCGTGTTCTTGCAGGACATGATCGAACTTCAGGCATCTCAGGACATTCCTGTTTTGATGAGCCAAAAGCCTTTCCTTCACTGAGTGGAGACACTACATCGACATTAATACCCTCTCTCCCACGTTCCTTTGCAATGGCAATGAAGGCTCTTAAACCTGAATCAAAGCAGGAAGCACCTCTGGAATATCCCAGGCCAGCAAAACGTGGGAAAATGAAGCAGAAGAATATGGAGTGTTTTCCAGGAACATCCAGAGTTGATCCATTCTATGAACATCAAGCTGAAGAAGTTGATGCAGCAGATGGTTTTGAAATGGGGCCATCAACCATTCCAGTAATTGTGCAGGACTTGTCTGCTTCCAAGGATCCACAAAAGCAGCAGCAGAAGGAGAGAGCAAAGAGAAGGAAGCAGAAGAAGAAAGAAGAGAAAATCCTAGCCAAGAGGACTAAGGAGCGTGGGGCCAAATTCCTCCAAGTTCTCAGCCAAGAAAAGTATGAGAAATTGCAGGGGGGAAAGCATGGGACTCCCCAGGAACAGCAACAGTTTCTTGGATTCTTCGAATTGGATAGTTTCCCCCAACTGGGCCAGAGTTTTGACGTGAAATTAGAGGAGGAAATAAAGTCTTTGCATATTGCTGAAGTTCATCCTCCAGATGTGGTGAATGAACCTGCATTGGACATTGTTCCTGTTCCTGTGGCTGGAGCCACAAGTGCAACAGCAGCAGAGAAGCAGAAGCACCCCAAGAGAAAGGATCCCATCAACCTTGACCTCTTCTCCTTAGTCCAGGTATATATTATAACTTCTCATTCAAATTCAGTCACCATTAAAGTGGTTTGAGTCATCTGTGACCTTTTTGCACATTACAGTAGGTTAAACTGAGGTGCATGCAGCCCTAATTTTCCAAGTATGGATTTCAACAGATTTGGTAAATTAAAGCCATTGCACTTTTAATTATAGAATTAAAAATACCAATCCTTCAAGTATTTGTCTTATTATTTGCCAAGTGACCAATTGTGTTCAATGGTATGGCTCCACTGCTGACTTTCCTCTTTGCTGTCCTCAGGGTGCATTCACCTCACGTAGGATGGGCAAGTGGATCCTTTCTTAAATAAGACTTATGTAAATACTTATTACAAACTAAGAATACTTGCATTTTTATTGAGATGAGGTCATTATATTATGGGAGTTACTGGCTCATCATATTTCTGGATGATAACCTAAAGAAATATCAGATGCTTAAGGAAATATAATTTTTAATTCTGCTTTTAATCTTTAATTTCTTGTCAGGCTCACATCATTGAACTTTTGTCTTCACTTTGCATTCAACACACTGAAATGGAGACCTCACAGGCATTCAGCTGTAAATTGTTAATGTTTTCAACATCCATTCAAATTTGCAGTACCCTTTATTGCCTTTCTGACACACATGCACAATCCTGAGTATGTGCCTTTTTTAGACCCATTATGGGGAATGGATGCAAATTGTAGTAGATGCATGTACCCTATTCTGCATGGTTACATTTACCCCAAAGGGGAACTATTTAGGGCTGGGTTGGTGTAACCCCTTGCTGTAAACATATTAACCCTGTTAGTGCCACACTTTCCAGTGAGGGATGTGTAAAAAGTGCAAAGTTCAAGGTGTGTTTAAGCTAAATGTCTACCACTCTCAAGTGGTATGCCCAACACCACCCTCTTCCAGCCCTGTTATGGACCAGCAGTGAGAAAATTTTGTTATCAAATATCAGTGCATGGCACTAAGAGGGTTAATAAGCCAATTTGAAGGGCAAACCCTTAGTAAATAATAAATAAAAAACACTGGAAACTTTCTCCTGCAGATTAATGCAAAAAGCATTGCCTTACCTCAATTTAAATGCTTTGAGAGTCATTTATGAAATTTTGGTTCACTCCTTTTGGACTTAAAATCCCCTCTAGCCAGTTAGGCTAATGTCTACTAGAAACATTTTATCTTTTCATTGATTATATTATGTCTTCCATGAATGCATGAAAATTCTGAGGTGCTTTATGAGTTCTCAGTAGGTTGTTCAAGAGTGACATTCCAATGCTGCATTTGCCCCAAGAGTGCACTTATGTCAGTTTATCTTACTCTTTTCATTATCTACTGTCCTGAAACCAAAGTCAAATAGTTACAAAGTGGTTTTAGAATAATTAGCTGCTATTTTGGCAGGAGTCATGTATGGAACCCAAAAGAGACCAGTTATGCTTATGCCCTAGTCACCATCCAAAGTTGCTCTTGTTCTTTATCAAGAAAAATTCTAAGAAAGGTTTATATTTAATTTTTTGGTGTTTGAAGTTAAAGGTGGATTTGCTTTGATATTAAACTGATGCAGTAGTTTTTCCCTCTTTTCAGTATTGTATCTGATCATGTTCACTATTGCAAAACCTGATGTTAGAACCAGATGACAGGCTAGTAAACCTACCATGAACATGACCATGCTGAGATTTAGTAATGCAGGCTTATTGTGGTGGATTTTCCCAGAGCACAGCAAGCAAGCTGAAAACAAAGCAGAAGAAGGAGAGAGATGGGAAGGTGTCAACCAAGGAGCGGGGGAATGCTATTCGAGTGGCGAACATTCTGGACTCTGCTCCTCCAAAAGTGCGTCGAGGGAAAGAGCGCCTCAAGCCCAAGCGCAAGAAGCCCTCTGTCCTCAAGCGCATCATACTCAATGAGCGACAGCGCAAAAAGCTTCTCCGGGAGCTCGATGCTTTGGGAAAGGCAGGAAATCATGCCACAGAATTGACAGTTCATGAGCCACCCAAGGCAATAACAGAATGTACAGGTGATAATCCTCCTATGGTTACTACAGAAGCTATTGGTGATGAGCCACTTGAGGATGCCACAGAATCCACTGGTGGTAAACATTGTGAGACAGAATCGGTTTCAGAAATAAAGTCCAGCTGTGATGTGACACCTGTGATGGAGCCTACTGAGGAAGAGAAATCCTCTTTGTGTGCCAAGACCTATCTCCACTCCAGAAAGTTCAGGGAGTGAGGCATCTTTCTATCTGAAAGAAGCACCTACAGCATCAGAATGGGAGTTTATGAATTGAGTTTTCCTTCTTTCAGTTATTGCACTCATTTCCTGAGTGAGGAGCTCAACAGCCTGGCAGTGAAGATGATCCAAGACCTGATTCGGTTCCAGGATCGCCTTCACGCTCGAGATCCGGTGAAGGCCCGAGCTAGGCGACGCATGGTCTATGGGTTCAGAGAAATTCTCAAGTATCTCGATCTCCGAAAAGTCAAGTGTGTCTTTGTGGCACCAGACATTGAACCTGTCAAGGCAAAAGGTTGTGTCTTATTCAGTATTTCAAGATCAGTAATTTTATTTAATATCTAATGAAGTGACATGTATCAATTCACCAACTGCCTAGACTCTACATGTTTGCAAAGCTTTATTGGTGACCATAGATGATTTGTCTTCTTATACATCTATAATGCCACTTTGCAAGTTCTAGGCAATAGTATCCTAACATATGGCATTGTACTGCTGAATTTTGGTTATGTATTCCTGACAGGTATTGAAGGGACCTTGTGGAAATTGTGTGCAATCATTAGTGACTCCCATCATATGATCTCAGGCAGTGGCATTACTAAAAGCTCATTTATTTTGTGGAATGAAATAGAATTAATGTGTCATGTATAAGATTCATTTGAAATGTTAATTGATTGACTTCTTCTCTCCATTATAATTTGTATTTCATTTTCAGGCTTTTTTTTGTTGCAAAATCTCTGGGTTAGAGCTTCATATGTGCCAAAAACAAGCAAAGTCTTCCATTCCATAGTTTTTTCTTGCCTCAGCCTCCTCAGATATGGCTGATGTTGTTGATCACAGGAGGCCTGAATGATGTGGTATGGAGCATCAGACAGAAGGCAGAGGAGCAAGGAGCTGCATGCATTTTTATCCTGAACCGCTACAGGCTTGGCAAGGTCTGCCTCAAGAAGGTCCCTGTCAGTGCTGTTGCTGTGCTTGATCATCAAGGCACTGAGGTATGGCATTAAGTTGGCTACACTAATTCTCTCAGTTTTAAACTAAGCCTTCTTCTCATTAAGTATGCATCTCATGTCTTTTATCAAAACCAGGTTATATGACTGCAGGGTTTGATGCAGGTTTCAAGCACTGCTTTTCCCTGTATCTCTTTTTCTTGCCTTATGTTTTAGACTGTACTGCATTGTGCAATCCTCAGTGAATTCTAAAACATGAAACAACAAAAAAAAAGAAGTGGGATCAGCTATGTTTTGCTGATTTTTTTAAAAATATTTCACTGCCCCATCAATTCTCTTTTAGGGTGTTTGTCTTTGAAAGTTACATCTATAAATACCATATCCTAAATTAAAAGGACCCAGTTGAGAAGAATGAAGCCTTTTTGATATCATACTTCTTGGTAATATGGATCCCCTGTTGTTATTCCCCAGGAGACTTTCCAGAAACTCTTGAGCATGGTTGATGTTGAGACATCTCGCTATTCCAAACGCCTCAAAGAGCTCTCTGGTGACCTGGACAGGGAAATCATCAAGTCCAACTTACCTCAAGTATGTTCTAACATATGCACATCCTTGAATTTTGAAAATTTATTGTTTATAAAAGTACTGTACATGAGGGCTGTGTTAAATTGGTGATTCAGGAATGCCATGGTATTGATGAAATCTGATGTTGATGCTTGAGATGGATATAGTTGTTTCTGTCCTGAATTTGAAATGAGACACTAGAATAGTACTATCTCAGGGTCACAGGAACTTTCCCCCCCCATGTCAGACAAGACAAATAGTGGGAAGAAGGTAGAGACTTTGCTAGATTATTTTTGCTTGCCATTATGAGGTGACCTAAGATGAAGTGAGTTCCTTGAAACTTAATAAGACCCTGTAAGTTCTAGCTTGGATTTTTATTTGTTTGTGCAGGTTTCAGGGAGGAAGTGGTCAGTTCTACCAAAATGCTACTGTATCATATGTTCAGGATTACATTTCTAATTGTTGTGAATGTTTCACAACTGTTATATATATGCGAGGTGATGAAGTTGCAGGAGTAGCTTCTTCCAAGGACAAATGTTTACCCTTCGGAAGCATGAGAAACGGAGATGCTATATATATACTCTAGCAGTTCTAGGAATGGCTTTAAAATTGCAAACTAGAAACGGTCCTACATAGTCTCTGTGCTAAAGTTTTCTACATTCATGGGTCTACTTTTACATTTATATTACATTTTCTTGCAATTTCCACCATGCTTATTTTGTAGAATGAGAGTGAGGAGGAGGCCTTGAGATCCAACATCAACAATAGTCTCCTGCTGAAACTTGCAAAAGAGATCCAGAGTCTGCAAATCCCGGAGGAATCTTCATGACATCCTTTAGTAATGGTCATTCTTTTGCACTTTATTTTGGCAAATTATCACACTTAATCGCGGTAGATCAGGTCAAAAGGAAATGCAAAATCACAGTGAAGGTGGCCAGGAAGCCTAGCCCAGTAGACGACGCTTTAGCGGGTGATGCAGCCGTCACAACGGCGGTCTCGCACTCCTCGCTCCCTTTTGGGCTCCCCAGCGAGTCTCTGGGCAGGATGCAGAAGCGATAGGTGGATCCCACTCGGAGGTCCGAGAACCTGACCTGTCTTCCTGAATATGAGACATCTCGCAGAGCCGATCGCGCTTTGTCTTCGGGGTCGAGAGGTTCTGCACGAACCGTGAAGTCTCCTATGTCTTCTGTCTGCTTGGAGACCAGCCACTGTACTTGGAACTCTCCATTCACCCTGTACATCACAGAAGGAAAAAAAAAAAAAAGAAAAACTTGCCGCCACTAGCTGTTGAAAATTGGATAGCTGGGCACAGCCTTGTTTAAACTTCTTTGAAGCACCACTGCCATAAATACCCAAAGGAATCTTTTTCATTGGCCATTCCATTTACTCATGGATAATTACTTCCTATGTGCCACCATAGGTAATGCTCTGCCAAGTGCTCACAGTATTATATTCGCTCTAATGAGTTCCCAATTGTTAATATAAATGGTTGCAGATAAGGATAAGAAAGAGTCTTCTTTTCGTTTCATTTATATTCCATTGGATTTTAAAGGAGGAGCCCCCCTCTCTTTTACAACTTGATCTCTTATCTGTGAGCTATGGTGATTGAAGTCCATTGTGAAGAATGCCACATTTATTGAGCCATCTGCTAAGGAAACCAAAAAGAAATTTATGGCATTTTGCCGACCTTTTGGAAGAAAGGAACATGCTTTGATGTTGAGAAGCAAGGAAAAAGGGAAGCAGGAAATTATTATGACCTCCAAATGTGCTACGCGCCACTTCCCCCCCCCCCCCCCCCAGCGGCCACATGACGTCAATTTCATTTTCTCCCTATATCTCCTCAACAGATGGTCCAACGATGTCTCTTTTTTGCGGAGGGTTTCAGTCACTATGAGACAGAGGTCGAGTTGTAAAAAAGAAGTAAACTCCCCCTTTTACTTATATCCCAGCCATATCAACTGTGCGCATAATAAGCATGCTCTCCAGATCATTCTTGCTTGCTACATTTTTGTGATAGGTTTTACCCTGGTGAGATTTTCCCATTTTTCACGGCATGGAATGCCCGACAGCCAAATTGCCCTTGTGCACCCAAAGGCATGAAAAAATGAATTTTCAGTACAGGAAACAGAAGCGATGAGATCATAGTGCCCATGAAACCTCGATTTGAAAAACGTCATTTCTCTCAATTTGGCCACTCTAAACCTTTTAGGCACTGACATCATTCATCTGTATCCTCCGCAAGAACGAGGATCAGGAGTCCCCGAAGATGAAACATTTTCATTCTTGTTGCTCTTAAGTAACACCAGTTTCTAAAAGTTTTGAAATGGGTGTAAGGGTTTTTATTGTTGGCGGTCACCAACAGGAAATAATTTTCTAAAAAAAAAAAAAAAGCAAAGAAGCTTGAATGGCTTTCATGGTCGCCGTGCTATGGTATCGAACGCGCTTCTGCCCAGGCCCAATGCTGGCTCGTTCCCGGTGGAACTGATTATGTCCTAATTTATCTGGGTAATCGCGTCAGTTCAAAATTTTCCAGTTAAAAGTTTGCTCGCTTTTTAAATGTCATGAAACGAAGACAGAAACTACATTTACTTCGTCCATCTTCGTATTCGATATATTGAGGCGACTCACTTGGAGAACGGCCTGAAACGTACATCAGGCAGGACCTGATAATCTATACTGTTCCTGTTGAGGGAGCAGCGTAAGGCACGCTCGTCCAGATCCGAGATTTTCGTGCCGGCGACCTCCTGCGGAGAGATGCAGGTGTCATTGTCCCACGGGGCCCTGTCCTCTCGCAGCAGCAGCCAGTGCAGCAGGGGTCGCAGCGAGCAGTCGCAGTTCAATGGGTTCCCTGAAATCGTTACAAAACGGTTAAAGGAAACGTTTCAAGATCTTGTCTTTCTCGAATGTGGCCGTTGAAAGTAAGGTTAAAAATTGAAAGGTTCTGAAACACACTTACCGTTGTACAGTACTCGAGTACCGTTCTGGATCTGAGGAACGAGTTCGTCGTAAAACCTCCTCAGCTGGTTATCCCTTAGATCCAAGAGCTTCATGTTGCTCCACTTTGCCATTTCGTCTGCATTGATGGAGCCGAGCTGGTTTCTCGCCAGATTCAGTTTGGTCAGTTGAGTGAGGTTGGCCGCTTCATTTGACCCGAACTGTTTCAGTTCGTTCCCCGAGAGATCCAGCTCCTCCAGGGTGCTCAAATTCGTTATAACACCTAAAAAGAGACTGTCATCATGAGTTGGGAGGCACGAGAAAGAGAGAGCATTTCAATCTGTTGTTTCAGACCAGGTCGGATGTCGATGATGGCATTGGAGGCGAGATTGAGTCGCTTGATCCTCTGCATCCCGAGCCCCAAGTCCCTGGTGAGCACCGGGATCACGTTATGACTCAGGTCCACTTCTTCGAGGCGGTACGGGATGTAACGGTGGTGTGGGAACGTTTTCGGTGCTACGAACCCGACCTGGTTGTGGCTCAGGTTCACCTGCATGCATATAACATTTATTTTCATATTCAATTGAGAATAAATTGAATTGTAAGGAAAAAGTTGCGTACCACTTTGATGGAGAGGAGGTCGTCCAATACTCCATCGGTTTTATTGTCCAGACTCTCGATATAATTATGGGACAGGTCCAGGACTTGCAGAGATTTCAGACCTGAGAACAGAAAGCCAGGAATTCATTCCTCGCCAGAGATGTATGCACCAGATCGGTTAAACTTAAACTAATCACAATGGACGTCTATTGGAATCCATTTGGCGAAGATGGGGTGACATGCACCAGATCCGTTTCACTTGACCCTTTCAGACGTGAATTAAGGCCACTATCGGAATGTTTTTTTTTTCGCATTTTGAGCTCTTTTTCTATTATATTTTAAATTTGTATGTTCTATATATCGGTTTTATATATTGTATAAATTAACCAAATCATACCATATATATTTTACATGTATTTACATAACTGAAGATTACGAAACTGACGGGTGAGAGAAGGCCTCCGACGGAATTGAGCTACGCATAATTGAGTCCATTGTAGTGTAATATGGGGCGCATAATCACGAGAATTCCAAGAAATTACCATAGAAACAATGAAAATGCAATGTCCATTGGAATGGACGCGGGGTTTAAAAGGGTTAAATTAGTCCGATCCCACAATGGTCCTCTATGGGAATCCGTTTGACGGAGATAATCTTATTTCCATAGATTTGTCGCGGTTGTTTCATTTTCGTGATATTCACGATAAAAAAAACGCGAATTAAAGACCAAGCGAAATGAAAATGTGCATGTTCGTGTCTCTCAACCCTCTCTGGCACGTGAGTACCAGACATGCGCAGGCGTCGATATTTGATTGAGGCGTACAGTAGCGGTTATGCCTTGTTATGGAATGGTGACGAGAAGAAAGCCATGTCCCTTCTTCGGCGGCAGACAGAAGGGGAACGGGCAAAATGTAAAAGACACTTTGGAAACAATGACTACGAAATGAACGAAGCAAGTAATTTTAGTGACAATCTTGTACTGTGTAAAATAGCCGTTAGACCTCATTAGACACGAAAAGGCCATTTAGCGAAAAACCGGTTCAACTGTTACTTAATGGCTTAGGGTAGGGTGTCTTGCACCATATCTTTTTTTTTACGCAAACTAATCCGCTAATCTGATCTCACAATGGTCCCCCATGGGAATCGATTTGACGGAGATAATCTTATTCCCATAGACGCCCATTCTGAAAACAGATGAGTTTAAAGTTAAACGGATCTGGTGCATCCCATCCATTGTGGCCCTTTAGTTTTTAAAGTATGCTGTAGGATCACCCTTTGCTGAATGAAACAATGAAAGGCCCCTCAGCAACTAAAAGGGAGAAGCCCGTGGAAAAGACGTAATAATTTTTTAGCTAAAAAGTTTAACCTAATAAATTTATATGAAGTAAAATTATTGAACATTCGTTCATAATTTTGTGCTTAAATAATCATCCATATTGTTTTGCTCAATATAACATACTCTGCCTTCTTGAATATTTCGTTAATAAATAGTGGATCCCTCTCACCGCGAAAGAAAAGCTCAAACCCCCAAAGGAACACAACAGGGACACGGCCGAATGAGACCTCAAAATGGGAATTTCGCTAATATACCATTCCAAAAAAAAAAAACTATTTGAGCGTGAGGTATCACCGACTAGGAAAGAGAAAATCGCGGGGAATCCTTCGCCCTATTCGAGGCTGAGCTACTCAAGGTCTTCCACCGTGTCCTAACAAGAAGGGGAATGAGATAAGGAATGTGTGAGACTGGAACCAAATGAGTCAGACTACCTTGGGACTCAGAATCTGTTCGGAGAACGCTTTCAGTTTTTTTTTTTTTTTTGAAAGGTACGTATATTTTGCAATCGAAAATCGTCACCTCGAAACGCCCCCATAGGAATCTCCCGTATCTCGTTCTGGCTGAAGTTGAGCCGCACCAGCTGCAGGAGACCCTTGAACGCGTTCACGCTGACGTTCCTCAGCCCGTTCCCCGACAGGTTCACGTCGAACAGGACCAGGAGCTCCCCGAATCCCTCCTTCGGGATCTCGACGATGCCGTTCCCCTCCAGGTTCAGGTACTGGAGGCCCGTCAGGTCCTGGAGGGCCGGGGCGGGGATCTTCGTCATGTTATTCTCGGCCAGGTTCAGCCACCTGCAGAAATAAAAGGATCGATTGGGTCGTTCTCGAGCAGACATAATAAGAATTAAGGCACGCATGAATAAACGGCAAATTTTTTTCCTCGAATCCAAAATCATTTCAATATAATACTAAAAAGTTATTCAGGTTTTACATTATGAGTCTTTTCCCCTTTGCCGATTCGTTAATGCCGGACTAGTACCTTTTGCGTTTTTACTTCATTCACCTGAGAATCTGTAGGTTTTCGAAGGCCCTGGCCTCCAAGTTGTCCCCGAGTTGATTCCGGGACAGGTCGAGCATCAAGAGCGAGTTCATGGTGGGCCAGGTCAACCCCGGCCGAATCCCCGAGATCGCGTTCCCTTGCAGATACAACTCGTTGAGCGAGATCGGGGGCTGCACGACCTGGTCGATCCGATTCTCCTCCAACCTCAGCGACCTCAACGACACCAGACTCCCGAACGCGCCCCGACTCACCCGCGCGAGTCGGTTGTGACCGAGATCCAGCTCCAGCAGCGTCGGGATGGCCCCGAACACCGTCCCCTTGATCTCCTCCAACGCGTTGTGACTGAGATTCAAACTCCTGAGGCTGAACAGCGTCGTGAAGACGCCGGGGAAGACATCCCTCAACTCGTTCCAGCTCAAGTCGATCGTGTGCAGCTCGTACAGCTTCGGGAACGTCCCCTTCGGCACGTCCACGATCGCGTTGTGACTCGCGTCGATCCGTCGGATCCCCGTGAAGTTCCCCAGCGGCAGGTGCCCCAGGCTCCCGATCCGGTTGTACGTCACGTTCAGCTCCGTCACGTCGCTCAGGTGGTCGAAGCTCTTCCCCGAGATCGTCGTGAGCTGGTTGTGCGACAGGTCCAGGTGCGTGATGTTCGTGCATTGCAAGAAGGCGTTCGGCTGGATCGTCGCGATCTGGACGAATTCAACGTGTCCTTCAGTCCTCCGACCTTGAGAACGCACTGTAAAGGTTCTTAGCCTTTTATTACAAAACGGTGAATGAGGAGCTTTGCGAAGCGGTCTATGTACGAATGACTCAGCAGGAGATTTGTCCACGGCCTTAAATGACTCTAAAGGTTCATTGAGGACAGTGGTGGATTTTTCACGATTTTTCCTCCGTCTGCAATGACTTCGGAGACTCTCGTTAAAGAAAGTGAGAACATCTTCTGTTGTACTGTACTTTCCCTCTTTTTTTTTTTTTTTTTTTTTACAGGCGAAGAGTACTTTGGTTCGCATAAAAGAAAAAAAAAAGGGAGAAGGGGACCTCGTGTAACCGTTCCCACGATTGCCAAGACGTTGTCCGAACGCGTTTCTCGTCGGAGATTAAGAAAAAAACTTTGGCAAAACTAAAAAACGTCAGGATGGAATACCTGATTATGACTGATGTTGATGGCGACGAGATAGAGTTCCACGAAGGTCTCCCGCCCGATCTCCGTGAGATTGTTCTCGGCCAGGTCCACCAACTCCAAGTACTTGAGGCCCTGGAACGTGCGGAAGTCCAGGGACGTGAGTCGGTTCCGGGCGAAGTCGAGCGTCCCGATCCGGCTGATGGTCGTGAAGGCCGACCGCTCGATCTCCCGGATCCGGTTGTCGCCGAAGTACAGCCGCCGGATGAACCGCATGGTCCGGAAGTCGCCGGTCTGGATCCGCGTCAACTCGTTGTGTTCCATGTGCAACACCCTCAAGAGCGTGTTCCTGGCGAACGCGCTGTGCCCGAAATCCCGGATGGCGTTGTGCGACATGTTGCACCAGGTCATCTTCGACAGATCCTGGAAATACGCCGGCTTGAGATCCCGGAATCGATTGTGCGAGAGGTCGAGGAACGAGACGTCTTTCAACGCGCGGAACGCCCCGCGGTCCACCGCGGCCAGTCGATTCCCGTGGAGGTCGAGCCTTTCCAGGGACCTCAGGCCCGCGAAGGAGTCTCCCGACAGACCTGAAAGATTCTGATTCGCCAGCACCAGCGTGTCCAGCTTGGAGTTCGCCTCGAACGCGTCATCCGGGACCTCCGCGACCTCCCCCCCGTCGAGTCTCAGCACTTTCAGCTTCGCGAGACTCTTGAGCGCCTCGACCGGCACCGCCTCCAGCTTCGTCCCGACCAGCTCGACCTCTTCGAGGGTCAGGTTCACCCGGTGGAAAAACTCGCCCGACACGCTCCGGATCGGCGTGTCTCGCACCGCGAACTTCACGATCCGGAGATGCCGGATCGCATCGCCGTACAACCGCCGGATCGGCGCCCCCTCGATCGTCAACGTGTCGATCGGCTTCCGAACGCCCTTCAGCCCCACCCCTATCATCGCCAAGTTCGCGTTGCGACACGTGACGAAGATCCCCCTGTCCCCGCCCCCATCGCACGTGCACGGATGGAAATAAACTTCCCAGTTTGGGGGGCAGGAGAACTTAGGACCCGGCGGGATGTACTCCCCCCGCACACCACACACCAATAACAGGACCTGCATGCAAACAGGGCCTGCATAAAAACAACAGGACTTGCACACAAGCAACAGGACTTGCACACTCGCAACGGGACTTGCACACGATCCACCGGAAGCACTTGAGCGACTCGGAAAACACTCACCCACGATGAAAAGAGGGTCGGAGACTTGAACGCCTCCATCCTCACGATGCCTCGAAAGCAGAGAGTGTCGTCTTGGGAGCCGCCATCTTGCCGTCCGCGCTGGCCTACATTCTCGGGGATGACGTTATCCTTGGGCTTCGAAGGAGAATGGCCCGAGGCGGGCCTCATTTTCCCCTTTCACTCTCGTTCTATTCCCTTTTTTCTTTGCAAGAATGCCTTCTTCGGCCTCGATTTTTTCTTTAATTGAACCGACTTCGTTTCCGTGGAATGCCGAATGTTTGCTCCGATAAAAAAAAAGAAAAACAAAGATAAAATAAAGGTTGTCGACCGTGAAAAAGTCCCCTCCCGACTTTTCACTCGCCCCGGCCCCTCCCCGGCCCCTCCCCGGCCCCCCTCCCCGTTTCCTGTCCCATGGAATCGGAAAAAGAATAAACACAGGAAACGGGAGGGAATCCGAGTCGACGACCCCCCCAACCGGCATCAGCTGTTCTATTAATTTGAGCTAATTAACTCCTTCAATTCCCCTGGTCCACTTCCTGGTCCGGTGATCGCTCACTCGTGACGGAAGAAAAGCTTCCCGAAATCTCCCGGAGAAAAATCATGCCGTTCGCGGGACACCGCAGAGACCGATCGCAATCATTCTCCCGTCCGAAATTTATCTCCTCTCGGAGAGCTTCCTTTTTTCTTTTATTGCGTGCGGTTTTTTTTTCTTCCGGGAAAAGGGAGGAATTTGGTTCCACGCTTCCATCGAGTTTGAAATTCGCGAGTGCTTTAGATTTTTCCTATTAATAACTCGATTCTAGTATTCTGGTTGGAACGAGATGTGCGCCTCTCACCTGCTTCGATTCCCGCGCAGACGGCAGTTTTTCTCCTTCCATGACCCAATGGCCCATAGAATCTCCTCCTGTAACTGTCTTCTAATTAAGTATGACATTTCTCATTTCCCCCATTAGTCGCTTCGTGCCGAACTCCGCTTCACCGCTTCTGGAACGCACGTCATCTGCTCGAGTCAGCAACAGCGCATGCGCGAGCGCCCCTCCTAAGGTCCCCAATGCGCATGCGCCGATCCCCCCCCCGAGCGCGCCGATCGTCTGCTCGATCCCCCAATGCCCATGCGCCGACCTCCCAACCGCGAAGATCGTCTGCTCCGGACTCCACCGCGCATGCGCAAGCACCTCTCCCGTCGTCTGCTAGCGGAGAGCGAGAGGAGGTCTGAGGGAGGGAGTGGAGCGAATCCCCGAAGGCAGTCGTCGGTCAGTCAGTCGATCAGTCACAGTGATGCCGCCCTGACCACACATGTGACCAGAAAAAAGGCTTCTCCTCTGCCCTTTTTTCTCTTCCCTTTTCCCCTTTCTCTTCCCTTTTCTCTCCCTCATTGGTCCAGTGCGATCGGATCCCCCGGCCGGGGACAGGGATCGATCCACAGGTTCATTATTCTTACGGGATGCAGCAGATAGAACGGAAAGGACAGAGAGGAAAGGACGTAGGGGAAAGGACAGAGAGGAAAGGACAGAAAGGACAGAGAGGAAAGGA